TAGTACGAAACATTATCTATAGTGCTCATTTCAGACCTAAAACCAGCTTGCGCATCAATATATACGTTATATTGTTCAGCCCAACATTTCAGCCTATTATTTATTACACTTGCAAATAATTTACCCGAGTTACTTAATAATGTTATGCATATATTGTATATTTCATCATCAGCAATTCAAATATTTCATTATTATGACATTGAACAAAAGGTATTAATAATCAATTCCGGAGCAAGTAAATAAACCGTATTACGAGAATCATTCACAATTTACCATTTGATTTAATTCTTAAGCTTTTAGACCATACAGTTCTTCCAATTCTTATGTATGGATTAGAAATCTTTGGCTATGGATCTTAAGAAATGGTTGAAAAAGTTCAGTGCGAGTTTCTTAGAAAAATTACTAGTGCTTGTAAATCAACACCTAAAGATATGTTATTCGGAGAGACTGGAGTAATACCGATATCAATCATGATTAAAAAAACAGGATGATTTCATTTTGGAATAGGCCAGTAGCTGCATTGGAAGGTCTCAAAATTATCTAACAAAATTGAAAACAACCAGAAAAGGAGTTTAAATGGCGGGCACATATTAAAATTATACTTGAATCTAGTGGTAGAGCAGATTTGTGGTTGCTTCAATCTGCCCTAAATACTAAAAACTTAATAATTCTATAAAACAAATTCTTATTGACCAATATTATCCGGAATGGAACACTCAACTCCAGTCATCTAATAAAGGTAAAACTAATGCAGTCTACAAAGAAACCCATAGTTTTAAAAAATGTTGACATACTTGTTTTTTATGTGCCATTTGAAAACATAAAATGCATGCATGCCATTAGTTTAAATAACTTAGATAAGTCCACATGGGAGTACGCTCATTGATGTATAATGAATCTTAGTTAAATCTATACATATCTGAAAATTAAAGAATTTCGAAGATGTCCCGTATCCCCGACGGCACTTATAATGCATCATAAAATTATTCATTCCTGTATTACTGATTATATTATATTATATTAACTATTACTAGGTAAAGACGGTACCTTATTGCGTAAATCCTAATAAATCCTGTGATTTTTTTATTCCAACTGAATGCGAATATTCACAATATTTATATCAGGTTAATTACAAACACTTGTTGTATAGGAAGTACTGAATTACTGTGCGACAAGCAGAATTTGCACAGGCATTCATTCACAAAAGCAAACAAGTTATAGTACACAAACTTGAGCAATAAGGCATTGTGTATTTTCCAGTAGTGTTTAACGATTAGTTATGTTAAAGTTTCCAATTATATAAGGTTCTGATATATCTTCACCTGAAGCCCCATTTCTTTCTTTAAAACATTAAAAATGTCTGCGATTATTTTATCTCTGTCTAATAACAGCGCTTAATGTCTATTAAAACTGCATTTTCTTTTCAGGACTTTACAACCGTAACATTTATATTGTAAATTATTATTTTGTTATAACCCCTTATGTATTTTATTGATACCTGGGTAAAGAAGTTATTTGACAATGCGTCACATATCTATCTTCTAAATTCCATATAGTCAAACCCCTGCTGGGGACATAGACTTGACGCGCGTCAACTGACAAGAATGTTAGTAAAAGAGCTGAAATAAAAGAATATAAAAGTAATGGAAATGAGTATATTGTTAAAAACAGGTTAAAAACAGAAAAGGTATTTTAGGGAGACGTATGTTCAATCCGGCTTATAGCCAGACTGAACTCGGGGCCAGACAAGTTTATGATATCAGGTGGTAAACTATTGTTCTTGGGAAAAATGGATATTTATAGTAATCAGTTTTAGTTTGGACTTGTTGGAATGCATGGAGATGGGATGTTCTAGATGATCTTTTAAGAGGGATGATATACTTTGGGAAAGGGATACCCACCTGGTAATGCAAGATGTTTTGAAACATGACCAGGCATTGATCAATACGCCGAAGGTCAAGGTGCCTCCATTGAAGGGAAGTCAACATGTCAGTGACACTTGACATACGGCCAAAGTCATGTTTGACCCACCTAGCAGCCCTTCTCTGGTCACTGAGAGTTCCTGTGTAGGGGGACCAGACCGTGGAGCTGTACTCAAGCTGGGGCCTGACAAGTGTCTTGTATGCGGTTGACTTTAACCTTTCTGAGTGAACTTTGATGTTTCGGCGTAGAAAACCAAGTGTTTGATTCGCCTTTGTTGTGATGTTGTTTATGTGTTTGTTCCATGTTAGATCATTTGATATTGTAATGCCGAGGTATTTTGCAGAACTGTTTCTAATGTGGTGTTATGTCGAAGGTATTGTGTTGGAATGACTGTTTTTCGTTTTGTGATTTGGATAGCCTGGCATTTTGATGGATTAAATTGCATGTCCCATTTTGTCTCCAATTGTTCAAGTTCGTGTAAGTCATGTTGCAGTAGGCTAGAATGAGAAGCGACAGTCAGAGATAGATGTATGGCCGTGTCATCAGCAAATAGGCGGACTTTAGAGGATTGGACATATTCAGGAAGGTCATTGATGTATATAAAAAATAAGAGAGGTCCGAGGACCGAGCCCTGGGGAACACCGGAGGAAACTGGTTTGGAGCTGGATCTGGAGCCATTTACCACCACGGACTGTGACCTGTTATCAAGAAAACCTTTGATCCATTTAAAAGTTTGACCCCTTATACCGGAGAAATGCAGCTTATACAGATGTTTTTCATGGTTGACCATATCAAAGGCCTTAGAGAAGTCAAGAAGAATTAAGTCTACTTGGCTTCTCTGATTTACTGGCTGTAGGATATCATCTATAAGCATTAATAATTGGGATTGACATGACCTTTTTTTTTGGAAACCATGCTGCAATTCATAGAACAAGTTTGATCTAGTAAAGTGCTTTGTTATACTGGAGGAGACAATGTGTTCCAGGGTTTTACAAAAGATACAGGTAAGAGAGATAGGGCGATAGTTGGCTGGGTCTGACTTGCTACCTTTTTTAAAGACAGGGGCGACATTTGCCATTTTCCAGATGTCTGGTAGAGTGTTGGACTGCAGTGATTTCTGGAAAAGTTTGGACACTATAGGGGCGAATTATTTACTGGTATTTTTGAGCACAATGGGTCTAATTTGACCAGGTCCTGCAGCCTTATGAGGGTTGGTTTTTTTTTAAAAGCTTCTCAACACCTTTTACAAAGATATCAATATCACGCATGGGGTTATATAGGGGCTAAATGATGTGTAGGGAACCTCTCTACCTGTACTTGCCTGATCATGTACCTTCATATCAGCAAGGAATTTAAGAGAAACAGGGGTTTTAGAAGTGAAAACTGATTGAAATTGTTCATTTAGTACTGTTGCCTTGTCTTAATCTGATGTATACAGTTTATTGTGTTTTTTTCAGTGAGTCAATGTCAAAAGAATCTTGTTTTGAGTCTTTTAATAGTGAATATATATCTTTTTGGCGTTTGGTCTGGTTTGTGTTTGTTCATGTTATTGAGAGATGTTGTTGTTAATGTTTAGTATATCTTCTAAGTAATTTTGATAGGCTAACTTAGTTTCTTTTCTGCAGAGATGTTTAATGCTGAGATATTTTTCTCTAGATTTATTTGAGTTATGGCCCTTGTACTGCTTTTAGGCTTTGTCCCTTTTCCTATATAGACGTTTGAGGTTGACCTTGATCCAGGGGAGTTTATTTTTGGAGGATGCCCATTTTGATGGGATGAAATTATTGACCCCTTCCTCAATTGAGCTGGAGATTGTTTGCCATAACTCTTCCACTGATTTGTTGGAATAAATTTTTGACCTGGTAAGAGAATCACGAAGGTTGGACATATGTAACCTAAGACCGTCCCAGTCGGCCTTATTATATTAGTGGATTTTACGTGGTTTTAGGAGCTTTATACGGGCGGAGGTATTTGTGTCGGCCAGGACAGCATCGTGATCACTGATACCTGGGATTACGTTGGCTCTGTTTACAATGGAGGGGTTATTTGTCAGGAACAGATCTAAGATATGGTTTTCTCGGATTGGGTCTTTGACTACTTGAGTAAGGTTATTATCAAAAAGAATGTTAATAAAATCTCTATAATGTGACTGAAGGTTGGAGTAATATTTGACCAATCAAGTTTTGGTATGTTGAAGTCCCCGCCTACCCATACTGTTGCATTTGACTTTGTAGTCATGGTTAGAGATTAATTGAACTCATCCACGCTATAGGGGTCATTTTCTTTAGGTTTGTAGTAAGAACCTACAAGCAGTGGTTTGGAACCTTGCATCTCTATTTTGACCCATAGATTTTCACAATCAGTTTGGAGGTTGGTAGCTTCTTGTGCTATAATGCAGTTTTTAACAGCAATAAATACTCATCCCCCAGCCTGCTTCTTCCTATCTCTTCTGTAGGGGGTGTAACCTAGGTCTGGGTGGAAAATTTCATTATCAAAATATTTAGGTTTTAACCAAGACTCGGTTCCAATGATAATATCTGGGTTTGTTGATGTTACCATATTTTCATACTCTAATTTTTTGTCCACAATAGATCTGCACATATCGTGCACATATATGACACGGGTATTTTTAATGATTATTTTATGGCACCTTTTGGAGGTCAATTATTTTTAACATGGAGCTGAATATATCTGTGTTTTTATTAAAGTACTGGAAATTTGCAGAGCCAATTAAATGTCTAGGCGATATTTTTTATTTAATTAAATAAGATATACAAACATTGCATGTACAATGTAAATTCATTCTTGATTTCAAATAAGAAGAGGTTTTATTATATAAAAGGTCCACTTTTTGGTTAAAATATAGTGAAATTATTTCATGTATGAACATTATTTTTCTTAAATAAGTCATCCATTTTGTTGAAGTCGGATAAAATAATGTTCGTTCATTTTTTTTATTTTACGTTTTTTTCGTTTTAAAGGTATCATTCGGTGTACTTCCATATCTCGATATGCCGAAAAGTTGCGAAAGTTATCGGAATACCTTGTCAATTATTATTGAGTTACATTAAAATAACAATGGCGAAATACTTAGAAAATATTCTGTAAATAAAGTGAAGAAATAAAAAACCCATGCATGCACAGTATCGCTTATATATCATGACAGGTAGTTAGACATATCTTAAGTATTTGGTAAGTTAGAAGAGTGTTGTCCCAGAAAATGAAAGTTGTGCTAAATTATTCAATTTCTGTTTTATATTTGGAAGTGTCATATGCTAAAAAAATTATTATAAAGGCAGTACATGCTATAACGTCACGGGCGTCGGGGATTGTCACAGAAATCAGCTGACCATCCCGGAGGGGTTCCGAAGAAGATTTTTTTCAGGGTAGAAATAGAAAATTATCACTGATTATTTCAATATTTGGAACTTCTTTGCAGCAAGAATGATAACACTTTTATGTAGTCCAAAACACAGGGAAATCTGTCATTTTTTTATTAAAAATATATATTATAAACAAGGGATACAAGTCATGGTCACGCACTACCAGCACGGGTTCGTAAAATGCATTCACATGTGTAAACTGTATAAAATATCCACTATTCCATTAAAGTTATTGTAGAAATTAATATATGAACGAGTCATTACCCAAGTTCTACTACAAACACTTCATTAAAACCTGTAACATTGCAGGAAATAGCTAAAATTTCAATATTTACATTGGCTGTCAAGTTGTCGTCCATTTTGCAGGTGTGTTTATGTTTCGAGTATTTTCATTGGCTGATGAAAAAACCGCTATTCGTCGCGGCTATGTGCTGTTATTATCCGGATTATAATTATTCATTAGCCAATGAAATTGACAGTTACTAACAGAAGTTGGATTTACGCATTGGAACATGCGGGTAACATCAAAATGGAAGCCGAGGATTGAAATTATCAAAACAAACATAAATTGTTACAATAATTTGTACCAGAAGTTATAATGATTGCATCATTGATGGTGGTGGATAATTGATATTTAACCGATTACATGATTAAACTTTCTTATATGAGCATACGTTTGCATAAGATGTCGTTTTACACGTGTAATTTTACAAACCAAAATTTTACGAACGTGTGTAAAAATGAAACATGAAGGGTTATTTTTAATAATATCGTGTCCATGTAACATTAAGTGAGTCACTGTTTTTGAAATTATCGATTCTTTCATCAATGTCCAATAATCAGAAGAAAAAAAAAATGTTGTATTCTGCGTTTTTATTTTTTCATGAATTGAGCAATTTTGAGTTGTATCCCTTGTTATATTATATATATAGTGGGAAAGGAAAAAAAATGACAGAATCCCCTGTGGTCCAAAATATAACACATATCAGCTTGTTGTTAGTCTTAGTTGGGCAATGCTTTACCCAGAAGCAAAAACATCTCAAAGCGGTGTCATTTTTATAAACATCTCAAAGCGGTGTCATTTTTATAGGCAGTTATATTTGCGTGGTGTTTATATTTAGTGGTGTTCAGCCGCACTTGTTGCCACATAACTACTGTTACTCGGCTTACTTCCATAAGACATGAAAAGCAATAATTTATTGAGTACCAACATTAGGCAAAGGGTCAACTCGGCCCTATAGCAACTCGGCATGGGTCAACTCGGCACAGGTCAAATCGGCCCTCTATTAAAATTTTAACCTATTAGGATATACATTGTTTAGTTTATAAAAAAATTAAGGAGTAAATTACTATAAAGTATTCAGAGGTATGATCACTAACAAACAAAAAATTGAAAAAGTTGACAGTGCACATGTACGTATTATTTGAACAGGGCTTCCATTAAGCTTCAAAATTTGGAAGTCAAAGACTTCAAAATCTCTGATATTGGAAGTCACATTATATAGGTAAAGAAGGAAAAGTATTAAATTTTGGAAGTCACAAGCCAAAATGAAGGAGTAAATGACTCCCAAACTTCCACTAGTGGAAGCCCTGATTTGAAATTATCTTTGTTAAGAAGGGATATCAAGACAATATTGGTTGGGGACCACCAAACCCGGACGGCCCAGAAAATGCTTTATTTAGTATTTTCTTTGTTCTGTGGTTGTCAGTCACTTTTTTTATCAACAATAAGTGCATTTTTCTTTTAAAATTAAATTAATAAATTCATTTCAATCTCCGTAAATGGTAATATTTTAATGTCTATTTCAAGAAAGTTGATGTTGAAATTTGGGGGTCAAGAAAGCAATGCATGACCTCATATACCAGCTTTAATCATTTGCAGAGTGAATAATAGAATATCCTAAACTTCAGCATTTGTTGCTGAAATATTGTCTATCATGTTAAAAATTAAAAATCAAACCACCCAAGCTTTTATCTGAATTAAATCACATCATGTACATATCTGTCCGGACAAATGGTACTGTAGTGTAGACAATTTAGGTAATTTTGATTCCCTCCTTTTCAAGCCTCAGATATAAGTGTCAATACAATCAGAAATAAACAAACTAGTTTATTAGTTAGGAGAAGAACCTAGCTGAACTGTGTCAAATTTTTTGGTCTCTAGGTTAAAAATTATGAAATCTGTACAGAAAAATGTTCCAAAAGTGTCCGGTTGATGGTCTCCGACCAGTAAATGTTTTGATCTGAAAAGTTGAATTTTTATGACAATAAATGTTATTGTATTTAACACTGTTCTTTTTCGAACAATGCTGTTTGAACGATATATTGCACAAAAAACATCTGAAGTAGACAAAACGTGCATATAGAAATCGTAAATTCTTCCCATCTCTACAAATTCACATACAATTTGGTACTTTCATCTATTATAAATGACTCCTCCTACATTTACCTAGCAGTTGGTCACATTGGCAAAGTCTTTTGAAGTCTTGATAAGACCTCCCTCTAATGATTATTGACACTTCTAGCTTTCTACTATTCTAGTGTTCCAAACTATCTTAAGTGCCTGTCATACTTTCAAATATTTTGGAAGTGTCACGCTTTTCTGCATTATTATTATCATTCGAGTCTCCAGACGATAACTTAGTTTGATTGTTTTAATTTTTTAAAAAATAGAAAGGTACATTTGAATTTTTGTCTAACTTTTGATCGTGTAATAATTTCCCCTGCCATGAAGCTTCTTCAGCCATAACATTTTCTTTCGTCTGATGTGGCGTTGTTACAATATAAAAACAGGTATGCTGAATCCCTTACGCTACAGCAGTGATAAAGCATAGGGCATGCTTTATGGTATCATATAGGTCATATGCTGCAAAGTGTCCTGGAAATAATTCTGGACATTATGGCATGTATGGGCAGTGGCTAGCTGTACCAGGCCCCAATTATTAGCATTTGACAATAATAAGTCATTGATTTTATAAAATATGTAAAAACAGTGTCTCTAATGACGATGCCTGATCAGACTGCATGTATGTGTAGGCTGGCCTAGCTAAAGGCTCTATGTTGGTGGCAAAGACTAATCAATGTTATATCCGGTTCAAGCAGGTGATGGGTTACGGTAGATGGAAAAACAGGAATAATAAATGATTACAGTCTAACTTGCCCATGTGACCACGTGTATTAAGCAACTTTTGTCTTAAACTACCACTTTAAATTCCCTCCAATCATTTTCTCTCTATATCTTTAATGTATTAGGCGACTTTTGCTCAACGCGACCAGCCACCGCTAATTAGTCACCTAATTGAGATCAATCTTTTCATTAAACGACCACATTTACCGTCAAGTAATTGTGTTTTTAGAGAACGCCGCCTCGTAAAGTCACAAGTGTCAAAAATCAAACACAACAAATAAACGTGTGAAAAACTCTGTTTCCCAAACCGTTTTAGCGTATGCAAATGAAGTTAAGTATATGCGTGACGTGTATTATCCAATAATATCAAAAAAACTATGCAACGCTACGCCCCTACTGAGATGGTGTATACGCTTTGCTTGTTGACATTTAGACTGCATTGAATTGAGCTTGAACTTGATCAGCAATTAAATTAATTGTAACAATAAGATGTAGTTGTTTATTTCTAATGAAAAAATGCACAACATAAAGCATCTTCACTAATAGGTTTTCGTGTTGGAGTAAAGGAAAAACAACCGAGAAGTTAGAAAATTCTCGAAAAAATGTCAAACATGTACGTAATGGATCAAAACTGTTTTGTCAATAAATATCAGAAAGATATTTTTTACATTAGCATCCATTTAGATTATCGGAGCGTACTAATTATTCAACATTTATATAAAAATGAAGTTGAAAAACATTCCCACTGCATAAGAAAGATTTCATCTATAAATTTTGACTTTTATATCATGCTTTGTCTAAGAGACCATTTCATTAATCGACCGTTTTGGATGTTTCCCTTGCGTGGTCGCTTAATACAAGTTTGACTGTATTGTTTTAACTGGACCACAATAAATAAAAATGCTTAAATGCACATAATGCCTAAGAAATGAAAATTGTTCGTCCTTCTTTAGAAACAGCAGTCGTGAGTTTTAAGATGTTGAAATAATGGTTTATGAGTATTTTAGATGCTTATCACATGAAGAAAGAAGCACCAAATGTGAAATTATTTGTTATAAAAGTAGCAAAATGTAAACAAAGTAGTATCTTGACTTCTGTACAAAATACTAAATTACAATAACTGCCCTAATCACCAAAAGGCAATAGAAGCAAAAATTGGTGAAGCCATTGAGTAACTTTTGGAAACTATAACAGAGCACCAAAATAAGAAATAAAAATAAAACCAAATTCTGAGGCACAATGGGCCTTTAAAAATCAGACAGGCGTCTTTTACTACTGTTTACACTCTGACTGCTTTTGAATCTTTATAGTAAGTGAACTGTATACACAGTGATTTTTTTTCTAATTTTTAAAACAACCTGTGGCTTTCTGAAGGGGGGAAATACAGCGCGATAAATCAGAAAAGGGGGAAAACCTGAAATCAAATTCCAACAACTGAAAATGGAATTTACCCACACATTTTATAAGAAAAAATATTTCAATTCAATTAACTATTCATGGTATATAGCAGGGGCTATCTATAGGGACAGATTTCTGTCTTCTTGCTCATGTAAGTCAGATGCTGTTAGGTCATGGTTTGGTAGGGAAGATCACAAGGCATTTTAGGGGAAAATATTAGCATTTTTAGGGGAAAATACACCTATTTTAAGCTAGGGGAAACAGCCTTTATTCGGCTGTGAAATACAGTGAAAAAAATCACTGATACATGATGAGGATATTAAGTTAACAGTAAATTTATCATTATTATTATATATTTTTAGGTTAACATACATGTACCAAAATGCCAGGCTCAAAAAAGAAGGATTTATATATAGCAAAGAGTATTGGGAAACTCAATGAGATGGCCGAGCTGCCAGCAAAGTTCAAGAACACGAATGCAAAACTGTAAGTATCATGAAAGTTTCAGGCAGTTTTTGGTCATTGCAAATTTTATAATTGTGGTAGGTACATTGTAAAGCAGTCTCAAAATCAAAGTTCCTGTATTCATTGGTCATAATCATGACTGAATGATGCTGTTTTGGCATAATGAGTGAAATTGTTTACTCCAACAAATGGTCAATGCATAAAAATGCGTTAAAATTTGACAACAAAATTTGTGGAAAGATGTCTCTGATACCATACTGGAATGATTCCGGCAGATTTGTAGGATTTTATATCAGGAATTTTAGTTTGGGAATTTTTTTTTAAAGATTGGGAAAAAATAAGCATATTTGCCATTTGGAAGGGGTCTGATAATTTGACCTGTGATGACACTTGGAAAAGCCAAGTCAACTTGAAATTAAAGAACACCCTGTAAGTAAAGCCAAAAAATTGACCCTTTAATGATCTTTGTTTATAAGTTTGACTGTATTTAGTTATGATTTTTTGTATACGTTCAGTTTGGTAAAGCAAAATTGTCGATGAAGGCCATGTCTGGTCACTCCTTTTGATGGTCTTTGATTACAAGTTTGACTGTATTTAGTTATGATTTGTGTATACGTTCAGTTTGGTGAAGACGGCAGACAAGATGTTGAAGGAGGCTGAGCACAGTGAGATGATGGAAGACGAGGAACGTGCCTACGTCTTGTTCATGAAATATTTCAACGTCGTAACTTTCCTGAAAAGATCTGCTGACTACAAGAAACAAAAGGTTAGCAAGCCAATTTATGCTCTTTTTATGCAAACTTTATGAACATAAAGGGCAGTAACTAGGTGTCCTTTATTTTTGGTTTAATTGTAACTACGTGACCTTTATATTTGGGCTAATTGTGCCGGAAAAAATCAAGTTATCACTGTGAACATATAGTCACTGGCTTTTCTTATTAGCCTTTGGTCAGATAATTCTCGTTAAACCATTTTCAGGTAGCTATCCAGCTAGCTTACGGAACGTCAGTGGTTCTATTTGTGTCTTTAATAATGGATGGAAGGGCATCAGAAGTCCTTCTCCACCAGTAAAGCTGGAAAGTTGCCATATTTATAACCTATACATGTACTGTGTTGGTGCCATGTAAAAACTCAAACAAACAAAAATCTTTTATATTTACTTAGCATATTAAAGTTTTAAGATATCTTTGCATGATCCCAGGGGCCATCTATGAAATGATGCCAATGCTCTTGTCTTAAGATGTATCTGTTTCATTTATGATCTGTTAAAGTCTGTTATGAATAAAAACTTAACTGTTTTTTTTATTGAAGTAGATAATCTGATTTATGTATGTATGAAATGTAACAGATTTAAGCTCAACTATTAAAAAAAATGGAGAGCTATTTCACATACCCTGGTGTTGCCATGATCAAATTTTGGTGAATTTTTGCAAGCACGTTGGTTTCTCTAAAACAAAAGAGAATGGGTTGAAACTGAACACACTTGGTTCCCTGTAATTATGTAACACAATGGGCCCAGGTGTCATAACTCTTGAGTTAAATTGTACTGAGTTAATGCCCCTTTCCTTACTGTCGAGCACTAAGAATAGTGTTATGTATGCAACATATTACATGTATATAATTTATATCTGACCAGTTGGTATTTCCAATATTATCATTGTTCTATTTTTAGAACATAAACTACATGTATGTACTAGAAGGTTCTTAACTGTTGTAGAAAACTCATGCATTATATTTAGATAGAAACTTCTGGAATGATCTTTATTGTTGAAGTTGCTAGATTATGATTACTTGAGAACATAATAGACCTTTCTGGAAACTTCTTAGTTAATATATATAAGGAGACATTTTTCATTGATCTTATCTTTAAGTCATCAGTTACCTTTTAAGTCATCAGTGATCTTTAAGTCATCAGTTACCTTTTAAGTCATCAATATATTTAGAGTATTTTACAACTTGGATATTAAGTGATTTATTGGAGCTTGGATTATTTTGAAATAGTTAAAATTATTCTTGTGGATTTTATTGTGGGAATTTATTCTAAAGTGTTCTTGGATTTTACTTGGATTTAAATGTGCTATTCAAAAAAGGATCATTCCAGGATCAGACTAGACATTTGATATTTCATTTTTATTTGGACTTCAGGTATTTGTAAAGATAATTTGTTATTTTATTTTTTTTTCTTTAATAATTTTTCTGTAATAAATTTGTTATTGTTACAAGTTTGTTGCTGGCTTTTCTTTCTCGTTACGCCTGGCTCGTAACAGAAATTGGGGGCTCGTCCGGGATTGAATATTTCTTTTTGGCTACATTATTGGAAATTATTACCATTTATTCTACATTTTATTATTACCGTATTTACTCATCTGAGTTGATATCATAGTTGTTCTATTAAGTGTACCTTTCATTTTGAAATTTTTGAAACACATCACTTTCTGAGTTTAAAACCAGCAGCAAGCAGTCATGTCTTTTAATTTAGAAAAGTTTGTAGCTGACCCTTCCCAGGAGGTATTAGATTTGGCTAAGAAAACTGATTTGCTCAATCTTGCAAAAAAGTATAATTTATTAGAAATTAAATCTTCAATGCGTAAACAAGAAATTAAAAATCTTCTGATTCATTATTTTGTGGATGAAGATATTTTTGGAGAAGATGCACTTTCTCAGATTGTTGAAAAGCACTCTGAAATTTCTGAAATAAAGATAAAAGAGCTTGAATTACAATTTAAATTTGAACTAGAAAAAATGCAGTTTGAAAAAGAAAGGGAAGAAAAAGAAAGGGAAGAAAAAGAAAGGGAAAGGCAGTTTGAAAAAGAAAGAGAAGAGAGAAAATTAGAAAAAGAAAGAGAAGAGAGAGAATTTCAGTTAAGAATGAGAGAATTATAAATCAAAGAGAGAACAAATCAGTTTGAACATAGAATAAATTCAAAATTTGATGTCACTAAAAATATTAGGCTTGTTCCACCTTTCCAAGAAAAAGAAGTTGATAAGTATTTTCTTCATTTTGAAAAGGTTGCTGAAAATTTAAAATGGCCAATAGAGCACTGGACATTACTTTTACAGAGCGTCTTAATTGGTAAAGCTCGTGAAATCTATACACAACTTACTGTCGAACAAAGCTCTAATTATGATAATGTAAAAGAATTAATTCTGAAAGGTTATGAGTTAGAACCAGAGGCCTACAGGCAAAAATTCAGAAATTCTAAGAAAGAAATTGGTCAAACCCATGTCGAATTTGCAAGAGAAAAAGAACAACTTTTTGATCGGTGGTGTCTATCTAAGAAAATTAATAAAAATCATGAAAAGCTCAGACAGCTCATGTTAGTTGAAGAGTTTAAACGTTGCATTCACTCTGATGTTAAATCTTTCTTAGATGAAAAACAGGTAGAAACTTTGGAAGAAGCTGCCCGTCTAGCTGATGATTATTCTTTAACCCACAAAGTCTCATTTTTAAATAAAGGGAAGTCCACACCCTCACATTTTAATTCCAAGTTCAGTTCTGGTAATTTATCTGGCTTATCTAGTCAGTCAAATACTCCCAAACCAAAGTCATCTGATGAACATAAAGGTCATAGTCCCTTATCTCGTCCTACATGCAATTATTGCAAGAAAACTGGACATCTTATTTCTGATTGCTTTACCTTAAAAAGGAGGCAACAACAACGTGATGAGGCCAAACCCACAGGTCTTACCACTTCAAGGTCTGAACCTCAGTCTTGTATTGATAACAATGCAATTTTGAAGGTCAAAGAACCCAAGTCTGATTCTATAATGGAGATTTATGAACCATTCCTTTCGGACGGTTCCGTGTCACTTATCGGTGATACTTGCCCACCTACCCCTATTAAAATTTTAAGAGACACAGGAGCTTCTCAATCTCTTATTTTAGCAGATACACTGCCTTTTTCTGAGAAGACTTCTTCTGGATCTAGTGTCCTTATTCAGGGTGTAGAGTGTGGTTTTTCTAATGTCCCTCTCCATAATATTTATTTGTCCTCAGATTTGGTAACTGGGCCGGTGGCTGTAGGTATAAGATCTTTCTTACCCTTTAAAGGTGTTCATTTATTGCTAGGTAATGACTTAGCTGGAGATAAGGTAGTGGTTAATCCACTTGTAACTGACACTCCTTGTGTGGATCAGATACCTGATCCCATTGAGCAGGAAATTCCTGACCTTTACCCTTCATGTGCAGTTACTCGAGCTATGGCTAAGAAGGCCATTCAAGAAGACAATTTTTGTTCAGATATTGACTTAGCTGATACTTTTATAGGTCAGTCTTTTGATAATGAAATAAATTTTTCTCACACTCCTACTCTGCCTGAAACTCAGACAGATTTTTCAATATCTGACTTTTCTACACCAAGATCTAAAGATCAAGGTCATGACATGCTGTCAAGGTCACAGCTTATCCAGGAACAACAAAATGATTCTGAGGTTTCAGTCCTTTATCAAAAGGCTTTTAGTGAAGATGAAGCTTTACAAGTCCCTGTTTGTTATTATGAAAATAATGGGATTTTAATGAGAAAATGGCGACCGCCCGATGTCCCTGCTGAAGAGGAGTGGACAGTTAATCACCAAATTGTGGTCCCTAAATCATATCGCCAGGAAATATTAAGCTTGGCTCATGAAACACCCATGGCAGGTCATTTAGGTGTTAATAAAACCTACCATAAAATTCTCAGTCATTTTTATTGGCCTGGCCTTAAAGCAGATGTATCTAGGTACTGTAAATCTTGTCATACTTGTCAGATGGTTGGAAAACCTAACCAGACAATACCTAAAGCTCATTTACAGCCTATTCCTGCATTTGATGAACCTTTTAGTAGAGTTATTATTGACTGTGTAGGTCCATTACCAAAAACTAAATCAGGTTCTCAGTACTTATTAACTATTATGTGTGCTTCTACGCGCTTCCCTGAAGCTATTCCTTTAAGGAATATTAAAGCCAAAACTATTATTAAGGCTCTTGTGAAATTTTTCACTTTTGTTGGTTTACCTAAATCAGTACAGTCTGATCAAGGGTCAAACTTTATGTCTGGTATTTTCCAGCAGGTCATGCACGAGTTAGGAATTACTCAATATAGGTCTTCAGCCTATCACCCTGAAAGTCAAGGTGCATTAGAAAGATTTCACCAGACTCTGAAAAATATGATAAGGTCATATTGTTTTGACACTGAAAAAGACTGGGATGAAGGCATCCATTTATTGTTATTTGCTGTAAGAGAATCTGTTCAGGAATCTCTTGGCTTCAGCCCTTTTGAATTAGTATTTGGTCACACTGTCAGAGGACCCTTAAAACTTATAAAAGAGAAATTCCTTTCTGAAGATGACATATCTTTAAATTTGCTTCAGTATGTATCAGATTTTCGTAATAGGTTGACTAATGCATGTGAGTTAGCTAGGGTTAATTTAAAATCAACACAAAGTAAAATGAAATCAAGGTATGATGAGAATGCTCAGGAAAGAAGTTTTAACCCTGGTGATAGAGTACTTGCTCTTTTACCTATACCTGGAAAACCATTACAGGCAAGATACTTTGGTCCTTATACTATTGAAAAGAAAGTCAGTGACCTTAATTATATTATTAATACTCCTGGGAGGCGAAAGCAAAAACAAATGTGTCACATAAATATGTTAAAAGAATATTTTGATAGAGATAGCAAAATTAGTAAACCTATATCTTTTGTAAACTCTGTTCCACAAAATCAATGTTCAATTGAATCTAATAGGTGTGAAAATTTTGAAAAGTCTGATCCTGGTTCAGCAAAGCTTGAAAACTCTGATATTCTGAAAAATCTGGATGAAAAACTTGCTCATTTAGAACCGTCGAAACGAGATGAACTGAAACAGCTTATTAATGAATATGAACATTTATTTCCTGATATTCCCACACGGACTGATAAAATACATCATGACGTCATTCTTGAAAACTCTGAACCAATAAAACAACATCCATATAGAACGAATCCTGTAAAACAAAAATACCTAAGACAAGAAGTTCAGTATTTATTGGATAATGACTTTATTGAACCAAGTCAAAGCAGTTACAGCTCTCCATGTATTCTTGTACCGAAATCAAATGGAACATATAGAATGTGTACAGATTACCGTAAAGTGAACTCTGTAACAAAAACTGATTCATTTCCTATACCAAGAATTGATGACTGTATTGACAAAATTGGAAAAGCAAAGTATGTGACAAAGTTTGATCTTCTAAAAGGATTCTGGCAAGTTCCACTTACTGCTAGAGCTAAAGAAATATCAGCCTTTGTAACACCAGACAGCTTATATCAATATAAAGTCATGCCATTTGGTATGAAAAACTCACCAGCAACTTTTCAGAGGCTTATAAACATGGTAATATCTGGTCTACACGGATGTGACGCATACATTGATGACGCAATCATCTACTCTGATGAATGGGAGGAACATCTCACAACTATAAGAGCATTCTTTGACCGACTAAGTGATGCTAAATTGACAGTTAATCTTGCAAAAAGTGAATTTTGTCATGCAATTTTAACATTTTTAGGACATGTAGTGGGACAGGGTAAAGTAAAACCAATAGAAGCTAAGGTCAAAGCTATCTCTGAATGTCCTGTGCCTACTTGTAAAAGACAACTGATGCGATTTCTTGGTATGGCAGGGTATTATCGTAAATTTTGTAATAATTTTTTTGGTTATTGCAGAACCATTGACAGATTTGCTAAAGAAAAGAAACAAATTCATTTGGAATGACAAGTGTCAAATGGCATTTGACAGCCTTAAAGTCATACTTAAGAGTGCACCAGTTCTCTTGGCACCAGATTTTAATAAAAACTTTAAGTTAGCTGTAGATGCTAGTGACATAGGTGCTGGAAGTGTATTGATCCAAGAAGACAACAATGGTGTTGACCATCCTGTTTGTTACTTTTCTAAAAAGTTTAATGAACATCAGAAAAATTACTCTACTATAGAGAAAGAGTGCCTTGCTCTTATTCTTGCTATTCAGCATTTTGAAGTTTATCTAACTTCTTCAAAGTTGCCTGTTGTTGTCTTTAGTGATCACAACCCCCTCACTTTCTTGCATAAACTTAAAAACAAAAATCAAAGGTTGTTGAGGTGGAGCTTATTTTTGCAAGAATATAGTCTTGACATTAGACACATTAAAGGGAAAGATAATTTGATCCCTGATGCACTTTCACGTGTCTAAAACTGTTATTTGCAGTATTTTAAATTTAACATTTATATGATATGATTGATTATTTTTTTTGTTGTTGTTTGCTATTGTTTGTAATAGCATTTATATGATATGATTGGTTATTTTTTTGTTGTTGTTTGCTATTGTTTGTAATACACATATATATGAATGTATAAAATTGTTTTACATTTCTCCTATGTTATTTGTAAGTTACATTGTTTGAATTTATGTAAAAGAAATATTCATTTCATTCATATTTCTTTTTCTTGAAGAGGGGAAGTGTTATGTATGCAACATATTACATGTATATAATTTATATCTGACCAGTTGGTATTTCCAATATTATCATTGTTCTATTTTTAGAACATAAACTACATGTATGTACTAGAAGGTTCTTAACTGTTGTAGAAAACTCATGCATTATATTTAGATAGAAACTTCTGGAATGATCTTTATTGTTGAAGTTGCTAGATTATGATTACTTGAGAACATAATAGACCTTTCTGGAAACTTCTTAGTTAATATATATAAGGAGACATTTTTCATTAATCTTATCTTTAAGTCATCAGTTACCTTTTAAGTCATCAGTGATCTTTAAGTCATCAGTTACCTTTTAAGTCATCAATATATTTAGAGTATTTTACAACTTGGATATTAAGTGATTTATTGGAGCTTGGATTATTTTGAAATAGTTAAAATTATTCTTGTGGATTTTATTGTGGGAATTTATTCTAAAGTGTTCTTGGATTTTACTTGGATTTAAATGTGCTATTCAAAAAAGGATCATTCCAGGATCAGACTAGACATTTGATATTTCATTTTTATTTGGACTTCAGGTATTTGTAAAGATAATTTGTTATTTTATTTTTTTTTCTTTAATAATTTTTCTGTAATAAATTTGTTATTGTTACAAGTTTGTTGCTGGCTTTTCTTTCTCGTTACGCCTGGCTCGTAACAATAGTCAAGTGAATAGTCTTACGGACAGATCTTTTGCTTTTAACATATTTTCTCAGTTCTACTGGTGTTGATGTTTGTCCCAAAATACTGGTATAAAAACCCTGTAAAATAAGTGAAGTAAAACTGGTTTGACAATACATTTATTTCGATTTTAAAGAAATGGAGGGTTTTTGTTTTACAGGCATACTATGATGATTTGTTAGGCGCAAAAAATCTTCTCACATCTATAAGCAAGGCTGAGGAACTGTCGTCCAGTCTTAAGAAGAGGTACATGTATTATGTTATATTCTATTTAAAGCATCACTTGGGCATGTGTTAAGAAAATTTGTAGAACTAAATTTAAGCGAAGAAGTAATTTCAATTTAACTGACTTCATTTTTTTTCTCAATGTCATATACAAAAAATATATAACATGCAACCAGGCCTTTTTTGACAGGTTGGGGAAGCAACCCTGCCCTTAATTTTTGGGGAAAATTATACAGTATATTTGCAAAATGGGAAGAAAAAAGTTGATGTAAATTCAATTTTTCGGGAAAACTGCATGGTTTTAAAGAATTTTTCTTTATATAGCTATATAATGGCCCCTGCATAACATGCCATGTTTTTTTAGCTCACCTGTCACAAAGTGACAGGATGAGCTTTTGTGATCGCTTTTCGTCCGTCCGGCGACCGTCCGTCCGTAAACATTTACTTTAAATGACATCTCATAAACCACTAAGCCAATTTCATCCAAACTTTACAGGAATGTTCCTTTGGTGGTCACCTTTAAAAATTGCCATGGCAACCAATAGAAAAAACTTAAAATATCTTCTTTAAAAAACCCCAAAGAGGTAGAGCTTAGATATTTGGCATGAAACATCTCTAGTGAGTGTCTATCAAGTTTGTTCAAATAAAAGCCCTGGGGTCAAAATTGGCCCCGCACCAGGGGGGGTCATTGATTTTCCCTATATGCATATAGTAAAAACTTAAAAAATCTTCTTTTAAAGTTCCCAAAGAGCTAGAGCTAAGATATTTAACATGAAACATCTTCTAATGGGTGTCTACCAAGTTTGTTCAAATAAAAGCCCTGGGGTCAAAATTGGCCCCGCCCCGGGGGTCATTGATTTTCCTTATATGTGTATAGCAAAAACTTAAAAAATCTTCTTTTAAAAAAACCCAAATAGCTAGAGTTTAGATACTTAGCATGAAACATCTTCTAGTGAGTGTCTATCAAATTTGTTCAAATAAAAGCCCTGGGGTCAAAATTGGCCCCGCCCGGGGGTCATTGATTTTCCCTTATGTTTATAGTAAAAACTTAAAAAATTTTCTTTTAAAGAACCCAAAGAGCTATAGCTAAGATATTTAGCATGAAACATCTTCTAATTAATGAGTGTTTATCAAATTTGTTCAAATAAAAGCCCTGGGGTCAAAATTGGCCCCGCCGCAGGGGGTCATTGATTTTTTAGCTCGACTATTCGAAGAATATGAGAGCTATTGTAGTCGCGTCGGCGTCGGCGTCTGCGTCCGCGTCGGCGTCTGCGTTGGTTAAAGTTTTTTGTAAAGTCAAATATCTCAATTATTACTTGAGATATTCAATTGAAACTTACAATACTTATTTATAGTAACAAGGTTCATCTGATTAACAAGTTGGATAACTCTGCCTACAATATTGACAGAATTATGCCCCTTTTTAACTTAGAAATTTTGGTTAAAGTTTTTTGTAAAGTCAAATATCTCAATTATTGCTTGAGAATTTCAATTGAAACTTACAATACTTATTTATAGTAACAAGGTACATCAGATTGACAAGTTGGATATTTCTGCCTACAATATTGACAAAATTATGCCCCTTTTAAACTTAGAAATTTTGGTTAAAGTTTTTTGTAAAGTCAAATATCTCAATTATTGCTTGAGATATTCAATTGAAACTTACAATACTTATTCATAGTAACAAGGTACATCAGATTGACAAGTTGGATAACTCTGCCTACAATATTGACAGAATTATGCCCCTTTGGAACTTAGAAATTTTGGTTAAAGTTTTTTTGTAAAGTCAAAATCAAATATCTCAATTATTGCTTGAGATATTCAATTGAAATGTAAAATACTTTTTTATTGTAACAATGTATATCAGTTTGCAATATTGCATAACTCTGCCTGCAATATTTGCAGAATTATTTGCCCCTTTGAAACTTAAAAATTTTGGTTTAAGGTCTTCAAAGATATTTACTTGAAACTTTACACATGCACTTAGGGTCATAATTGGAGGGTCATAATTGTATGTCACTGACCAAGTTCCATAACTCTATCTTGCATTAAGGCTGATTCATATCCCCTTTTCTACTTAGTCTCTTGGTTAATGTTTACATGCAAGTTTTACATATCTCAATAACTTTTGAAGATATTTACTTAAAACTTCACATATGCATTTAGGCTCATAATTGTAGGTCACTGACAAAGATCCATAATTCTATCTTGCATTTTGGCTGATTTTTCTCCCCTTTTTCAACTTAGAAATTCATGGTAAAGTTTTGTTTGTAAGCTGTTATCTCAATAACTACTGAAGGGTTTGTGCCTTTTTTGGGACAATTTTATGCATTCATAATAATAAAGCAGTGATTTACTTGATAAAACATCTTAATAACAAGCCTTTGTACCTTCTCTGTCAAATTTATGTAATCATAGGTAATTAGTATTATTATACTCAATAAAACACCCTTGTGACATTACCTTCCAAATAGTCAAGCCAATACTGTAAAATTAGACTCTCTGTAAGGCCTATTATGCTATAACATGAATTTATAAAAAAAATTTAGCCCTTTTGTGAACTTAAAAAATTCAACATTATCAAGGCTCTTTTACTATAAAGCACTTAGAATAGTCGAGCGTGCTGTCCTACCGACAGCTCTTGTTTCTATATGCATATAGTAAAAACTTAAAAAATCTTCTTTTAAAGAACCCAAAGAGCTAGAGCTAAGATATATAGCATGAAACATCTTCTAATGGGTGTCTACCAAATTTGTTCAAATAAAGAGCCCTGGGGTCATAACTGGCCCTGCTCTGGGGGCCTATATACAGGTGAGCTACTTCAGGGCCATCATGGCCCTCTTGTTTTTTTTCATCACTGGGCATAATAATGGTATATTTTGCCATTAATGAGAGCTTAATCATTGAACATAAAATAAACTTTATAAAAATAAAGAACCTCTAACAGAACTTGCATTACCTCTACTGCATACTATTTTTAGGGGCATTCTTAATACATTAATTAAAAATTTCATTTATATACAGGAATAACAACCCCTTAATCTCCTGCAATTTTTTTGTTAAGGGAGCTAGATATTTTTAAAAATCAGGAGCTACATATGTCTAAACTTTGCTCGTTTGTTAATAAGAATCTTATATCTTATACAGGTATGATGAGTTAGAAGCCAAAAATGTTGCCAGTAAACTTGCATCCCTCGATACCATAGAACAGAAAACAGAGAGCAAAGATGAGAAAAAGGCTGAAGATAGTGCCGATAAGTCAGACAAAAAGTTGGAACCAACCGAAAAACAGCCTGAAGGTACCTTTCATTCTTTACATATTTACAGCTGTCCTTAGAACAGCTACTGACTGGTTATTTTGGAGAATAATTGGTTATTTTGTAAAAGTAAGAAATTGTTACATTTGTATTTATACATGTAAGTCAAGGTCAAACAAAGTCTTAGGTAAGTTCTATTTATAGTCTCAGTTTTGCATTGGCAAAATTCTTGTCTGTCTTCCTTTGCCTTTATGGTGCTCAAAATTTTAAAGACTTATTTACTAGAGGTTCTAATTTCCAACAAAATTGTAACCATATTGTAGTGTTAGCATATATATTGCTTTGAAAAGCTCATTTTGTAAGAATGTTCATTTTTTATGCTCCTTTGCATATATAGCAATTGAGGTATCATTCTGTTGTCCTGTGTGCAGTTAATCCAACTAGTAAGGGAAGAACACCTTAAGTCCTACCTCTACCAATGGCCTCTTAATTTACATTCTATTTATATTTTGTATGGAAGTCAAAATACTACTTTGTTTACACAGAGATCTGCCGAGGATGCGATTTTGCGCCATTGGCGCTAAAAAAATGAGAATGGCGCAGGAAAATCGGCAGCAAAGGGCCAAGGGCGCATCTAAATTCTGTGCCAGACTTATAAGAAAACAAAACTGTCTGCTGGGTTATTTAGTCATCCAGTCAAAACTGGTACCAACAGCAACACGTTACCCATTCCCCTGTAATTACGCATATTCTTAAGTTGATCCATTCCCCTATAGCTTTTGTTCACGTTATCTACTTACGGCTTTTCTTTTCATAATCCCTTTCCCACACAGATACTCATTTCTACTACTGTAAATTTATAATCCAATAAAACAAACAAACAAAAAAATTATGCAACTAAGATCACTCAAGTTCACGCAAGCTTTGGCTGATGAAGTGTAAAAAATGATGTCTTTTTCGTCATCAGAATATTTGACAGGGTGATTAACCAATCAGGGGGACATTATGCATGACTTTTGTCATGATCAAAAGGTCTGTCGGCATCTTCGATGTATGCTTTCTACACAGAGGCATACAAGGAGTAATAAAATTCGTCAATATAAAGTGTGACAGGGACATTTGGTGCAAATTAGGAACAATTAAATGTATAAGGCACAGTATTAGACATAAGAAGTAAGAACCAGCAATTATGTGAATAAATCATGCAAATCAGATTTTTGAGCAGCCATTTGAAAAAATATTTTGCCTGCAATTAATATTAGTTAGAAAGTTACCGCCTAGGCATTTTTTTACTTATTGGTTTTACTTATTGGTTTTATCTTCTCTGTTAAATACGGAACCACTTGTCATAAAATATGATTTAAGTTCCATTACAAAGGAAATTCAATTTTCTACAAATTTTTTAACAGTCATTTAGGTCAATGTTTACTTATTTTCCCAAGGCCCATACTTTGGTCAAAATGGCCCATCATTTTCAGACCAAGTGGGCCCAGGGCCCAGTACTTTCAAATTTTTGGCAGATCTCTGGTTTACAGTTTGCTATCTTTACCACACATTACTGCACATCCAGCCCCAGTTTTGTCTGTTATTAAACATGTAACATGTTCTTAGTACGTTATTGAAGTATTATTAAACAAATATTTAACATTCTTAAAGACTAAAAAAACAACAACTGATTTCTGGGTCTTAATATGCCTATTAATCATTGGTCAAAGTTATTGATTTTTTCAAATCTGTATTGATAATTGATCGACAAAAATATGTGGACAATAGATCAATACCATTTCTATCTATGACAGTTATACCAATAACTGAATATAAGAACTAATGTATTTCTGAAAAATTGTAGGAATTAGCACCTTTTAAATTTCTTATATTTAATGGATAATCCCAGATTTAGTAACATTGTCAATAAAATTATTATCAAGACCTATCCTGATGTATAGAAATATTGAAAAGTTATATTATCATGTCTATCACTTGAAGAAGCTGTTTATCAATCAGGCAAAAATTGCCATAAAAAAATTCATTTCAAGAATAAACAACCTATTCATTTCTACAAAATATGTCAATCCTTTGGAAGCTTTTGCTGAACAATATTCTCTTGAAATTTTGGAAAATGAAAAATTCTTTTTGATAACGTGAACTTTTTATACTGTGCTCCTCTTAGTTCATGATACTTAATGCTTTGAAACAAGAAAGAAAATAAACAATAAACTTAATGTACAAAAATTGTCATAAGCTGTAACATATAAGTATTTTCTGCTGTATGACACAAGGAAACAACAACATATTCAATTCAAATCAAATTTACTGGTCAAGACGTAGATCATAGGGTGGCCATTTTGAAAACCATATGTCACAAATTTAAATTGCCAGAGACTCGCATAATATAATTTTATTCAACTTGTTCAATAAATTCAGTGTTAAACTTACACTCATTCAAACTATATTTATTTTAAATATGCCCCTTTGAAAGCAGCAAAGACCAGCCCACGTGTTTTAACATGCACATTATTTTGTATTTATACATTTTTGTAACTATAAAGACCAACCTGGCTTTTATTACTAAATTGCTTTATTTTATGCCCTTCCAGAGGCAGCAAAGACCAGCCCAGGTGTTGTAACATGCAATCAGTTATTTGACTTATTTGAGGACAGAGATGCTCAGCTTATACTCATGGATGTACGTTCAATGGAAGATTTCCAGGAGACGAGAATTAATCATAAAAATATAATCAACGTGCCTGCCGAGGCCATCAAACCAGGGTGAGCTACTTTGACAACTAGATTCTTCTTGTATACATCCACAACTGTTTATGTCAATTTTAAAATGACATTTAGCAAAATTTTTATAAATTTGAAATTTGGCGTCTGCGTCGGCGTAACCACTTATGTGAAAGTTTTTGTTATAGTTCAAATATTATCAAAGTCCATTGACATATGGCTTTGAAACTTTGCACACTTGTTCACCATCATGACCCCAACCTGTAGACAGGAGGAGGTAACTCTATCAAGCATTTTGACAGAATTATGCCCCTTTTTCGACTTAGAATTTATGTTAAAGTTTTTGTAATAGTTCAAATATTTTCAAAGTCCATTGACATATGGCTTTGAAACTTTGCACACTTGTTCCCTATCATGACCCCAACCTGTATACAGGAGGAGGTAACTCTATCAAGCACTTTGACAGAATTATGCCCCTTTTTCGACTTAGAATTTATGTTAAAGTTTCTGTAATACCTCAAATATTTTCAAAGTCCATGGACATATGGCTTTGAAACTTTGCACACTTGTTCACCATCATCACCCCAACCTGTAAACTGGAGGAGGTAACTGTATCAAGCATTTTGTTTTTACTATCAAGCACTAAGAATAGTCGAGCGTTGCTGTCCTACCGACAGCTCTTGTTTCCGATTGCCAAGGGTCCCTTAATCAGTCCCAAACAAAAAAGAAAAAAGTGCTGCATTATTCAATATAATTCTGTATAAATGAAATAATACAGAAATAAGCAAAATGAATGGATAGTTTAGGTGAATTATCAATTTCTTTTTACATAGTTTCATGAAGAATCATCAGTATCAAAAAGGTTTTTTGTTAGCTTATGAAGATGATAGATTTTTGAGAGATTTTTATTATCTAATCTGAAAGCATATATTAATATATAAACCTTTAGCATACTCATTATTTTAGATAGACTAAACATCCATCATTTTACAGTGAAAAATAAAAATATAATATAACTGAAAAGCAAACAGTGCAGACCATAATCAGAAGGGACAGATGTGACAGCTGATTTTAGTCTGGTAGTCTAGTACTGGTGTAACTATCGAGGAACGATGGCTAGGAAACTATCCACCTATATGACTGAAATACTGTTGGGAAAAGGCTAAAAACAAACAAACACAATTTTGGTCTGCACTGTTCACATTGATACACATAGATACAGATTTCATAAACAGGCTTAAGGTAAGAATGGCCATAAAAATGGCCATTAAGGGAGGTAATGCATGTTAAGCTAGAAAATACATGTATCCATTTCTGTCTTCAGAACAACTGTTACATACATAGAGAAAGCTTTACCCATGGATTCCTTGTCGCTATGGAAACAAAGGGGTAACATTGATCATATCATATTACTAGACTGGAACTCGGGTATAGACCAGGTTAAAATTGGATCCAGTCTACAGACACTGAAGGATGCCCTGTTCAAGGTAGACACCATTATATACTGAGATTCTATAGTGTCCTTTTAAATTTGCTAACTTTTTGACACACAGAATTATATTATTATTTGAATAAAACTTGTCACAGCTTTGAACACATGGCATTTTTGTGGAATTTCTAATTCGTCCCTAGATTTGATGTCTGCCAGATAAGCTCAATAGGGAGAGCATCGGATACATGATTTCTTCAAATATATTGGTACAAAGTACAAAAAAGTATTATCAGGTCAACTAAAATAAGTAAGTTTAAATTTTTGGGAAAATTGCATGATTTTCAAGAAGATTTCAGTAGGGACGAAGCCTTTTATAGGCCTCTGTATGAAAGGCCTCTGTTATATAAGGTAAAAAATCACTGGAGGCAATTTGCAGCACATTTTGTTTACTTGTTTTACATGAACATTTTACATTATCTACTTTGGTAAAAAGGAGAGTACTTGCTAACAATAAGTCACAAATAACAATCTGCTTGGCAAAGAAAATTTTATATGTTAGTACACAAAGTATGTGAACTTATAATGCAGAAATGGTCATAGCCTGATATTGTGAACTTTACGGTACCTGCTGTAATAACAACATGTACAATGTATCTATATAAAAACATCAAAAATTGCTGTGCTAAAGTTTTTAACTTTAATCATAATTATACCCATAAACAAAATTCTTAATGACCTTAATAAAATAAAAGGATTTTAGTTTCTTTTATAGAGAATATAAAATAAAAAAAGTCAAAAAAGAAGAAAATTGGTATCCTGGATATAGAAAATCAATATACTGTACATTTTACTCACCCATTAGTCTGACTCGTTTGTAAGACGGGGTCTAAATATTTTACAAAAAAAAATTGCAGCATGATGCTTTAGTAGGGCCACTTTAAAGTTTCATTTGTTAGACGATATTAAAGATTATTTGAATGATTTCAATTCCAGTATGACTCGACAGTGATAATCAAAAGTGAGCCGCTCATTCTAGATGGCGGATATGAGCAGTGGATGTTACAGTACCCAACGAAATGTGTGAACCCGGTCTTTGATAAACTTAAAAAACCTGTGGTGAGCTCAACTCAAGATTCTTTAAGTAAGTATTTACTCCAGTTGCCAGTTTTAAACTACTATTTCACTATCTCACTATCTTTTTCTAAACACAAACCAGCAGGGAAGTTTCACTTCTATACAATAAATGATTTACATGTATACATTTTGATCTTTTTTTAAAAGCCACACAGTGCTTCAGGGTTCATTGAATGTCTCGTAGGAGGTATTTAGGGTTTGTATTGTACCATTTTGATCATTTTTAAAAGCCACACAGTGCTTCAGGGTTCATTGAATGTCTTGTAGGAGGTATTTAGGGTTGTTGTTGTTTTGTGTGTGTGTTTTTGCCAAATATTGGGCCATATTCACAGAGGTAAGTATTATATTTTTTTACCGTATCTTAGGAAAAATCCCAATCAAAACCGTTAAACAGCAGTTTCAACCATGCTTTACAGCCATACCCTTGAAGAGTACTTTCACATATTCTTTATTGTCTGAATCACATAGATAAAATGTCTTGGTAATCAGATAAAATATACTTTACAAACTAAAAGGACAGGCTGCACTTACAAATAATTTCTTAGGGTGATTTTGTTATAGGTTACTTTACAACAATCAATAGAAGACAATATATGAACTTTATTTAATAAAAGTGGTTGGATTTGATAGATGAATATCAGGGTTGGTAGAGTCACTAAAAGTGCTTAAATTTTGAGTCCCTTTCATAAAAATACTTAATTAAGATTTCTGTGGTGGCATGGCCAAGTGATTAATGCATCAGATTAGTAATCTTATGATTGCTAGCCACATGGGTTCAAACCCTGTTATCGTCAAGTCGTTGTTTCCTTGAGCAAGAAACTTTACACTCATTGCTCAGTATTAGTTGGTTCCAACTTCCAAGAACAGATTAGAATGTGTGTCTATACACTTATTGCTTCCTACAGAATCAACTAAAAAAAATTCTGTATAAACCAAAAAGTGCTTAGAAAACAAAAAATGCCCTCAAAAGTCCTTGAACATGTGTACTTTTAAAAAGCAATGACATAAATGCAAGTTTGTCAGTATTCATCAGTAAAGCACATGTTTATAATTAACATTAATTATACAAATGTCATTTACGTTGATAACACACATCAATACCTAGGCTGTTTTTTACTAACACCTGTCAGACTGGCACCAGTCTTAATTTTGTTATCTAACTGTGAAAACCAATTAAGTCCTGAAACCGATTAAGGCCACTTTTACGACGTTTTAATAATACATGATGACCGGCAATTAAAATTTCTATGGAACGTGTGAATCACAAGAGACAACAATTTCTCACCTTGATGTTGCCGACCTTTGGCTGTTTTCACAATTCGACTTATTGAGATGAAAATATGTTGGACTTTAATTGACGGGACCAAATTTTCTTTTCGACTAAACAGGAGTCTCGGTAATTAAAATTTGACCTAAGCAGAGTTAAAATACAAAGATAAAGAAGGAAATTTGACGGGACTTTAGAAATACTTCGACTTACGCGGAATTTTGAGTAAAGCGATTTTGACTTATTGAGAGTCAACTGTATATAAAATGAGATAATAAAACAGCATAAAAGAGCACACTTTTGTCATAAAAAATAAAATAAGAGGAACTATGCACCTATGGATAGCCCATTAAGCTAGATGCTTATTTCCAATGGGGTCCATAGAAATAAAAAAACTAACATAATTTTAACCCTTTCCCCCCTTAATAAAACAAACAAAAAAACAACTAGATAAAAAACTAAACTAACTAACTTTGGTCAAAATTTTGGTTGAAAAAGGAAATATATTTATAAAAGTATGCCCTTTTTAAAATAAGCCTAGTATTACTATCACAGAAATATTTGATCACAGTGCCTAACACATTAGTTGTACACATATATATCTTCTGAAAGACTTTTATAGCTTTCTAGTAGGTACTTTTTAACAGATTTTTTGTATTGCACAAAATTATTAATGGATTTTATATATTCTGGCAGATCATTCCAGTCTTTAATTCCATTATAATAAAAGGTCTGTTTCATCACAGAATTACATTGGGGGACAATAAAATTAAAATTGCTTGATCTAGTATTGTAAAATCTTGCATCAGCACAACATCTAAAGTCGGCTCTAAGGTATGATGGACTCTTTTTGTAAAAAATCTTATACATATGATTTAGTCTTAACTGTTTGACTCTGTTTTCTACATTTAACCAATTTAATTTTTCAAACTCATACACTGTTACAGAAGTTCTGGGCGGTAAGTTTTGGACAAATCTTAATACCTTATTCTGAGTAATTTGTAACTTTCTTTTCAAATGTTTTGATAAACCTTCATACCAAGAGGAACAAGAGTAGTCAAAATGACACTGAATCAGGGCTGAACATAAAATCTGTTTTGTTTTAATATCTAAAAGTCTGCTCTGCCTGTATAAAAACTTGAGCTTGGCATTCACTTTAGAAATAACGTTATTAACAATAGTTTCCCCAGATAAATCACTATTGATATAAAGACCAAGATACTTGACTAAATTAGTACCCTTTATGCTATGACCATTACATGTAACAGTAAATTGTTCTTGCTTTTGTAATTTTCTTTTGGGGCCAAATAGCATACATTCTGTCTTACCAAGGTGGAGTGACAGCTTATTGTCTACGAGCCATTCTGAACAGCTTTCTAGGGCTGTTCCAAGTTTTTCTGAGATGAAATTCGGGTCTTTATGTGAGAATAAAATAGTGCTGTCATCTGCATACAGTATTAACTTGCAATCATTATCAATACTTAAGATCATATCATTTACGTAGCACAGAAAAAGCAACGGCCCTAGAATCATGTATGTTACATTTGTCATGTTAATCACATATGTAATGCATGTTACATTTGGCCATGTAAATTACATTTGTCATTTGTGTTATATTTGTCATGCCTGTGACAAAAAAAATTGTTATATAATTTACATTTATCATGTATGTTACATTTATCATTCAAATTACATTTTATCATGTGTTACATTTGTCATGTATGTTGATTTTGTCATTTATGTTACATTTATCATGCATGTTATATTTATCATGTAAATTACATTTTATCATGTGTTACATTTATCATGTATGTTACACTTGTCATGTATGTTACATTTGTTATGAATGTTACATTTGTCATTTGTGTTATATTTGTCATACATAGTGTATGTAACATTTATCATGTATGTAACATTTGTCATGTATGTTACATTTTAAATGTAAATTACATTTTATCATGTATGTTACATTTATCATGTATGTAACATTTGTCATGTATGTTACATTTTAAATGTAAATTACATTTTATCATGTATGTTACATTTGTCATGCATGTTACTTTTGTCATGTCTTTTATGAGACATTAACCCTCAACATGTAATATGCTTTAGTGAATAATGATATTTGGGAAATATTGAGGACTTTGACAAATAGATATTACAGCTGATTATAAAGGCCCCATTATACAGGGACCATTAGACAGTAAATTCCTTTTGTAATATCCCCTCACAGCAAGTTATACATAATAATTCCCAGCTACTAGTAGTTTAGCACCAATTCAAAAATTGACCCAGTATAACCTGCGAGCCGAAGGTAACATTCTCGCTGCACTCAATGCTGCTAGAAGCTCAAGCAGAAATAAGAAATAAATGATTGACTCAAGCATTATGATCTTAACATATTGGTAGCTTTAATATGTTTTTATCATTCTTTTACATTTCAGTGGACTTTGATTATCCAGATTTTGATGAAACTTTCATGGAACCAAAACAAGCAGGGACTAGTTCTAATGATTCATCAGCTTCATCATCGTCCTTAAACAGTGTTAATTCTCTAACTAATGGGGATGTTACTTCCCAATTTCCGAAAATTGATAGATCTACAAAACCAAAAATTGATAGATCTACAAAAGTGAATGTTGCTAAAACTGGTATAAGTTCTAACAAACCTGTAACTGGTTCTCTGTATCCAGATGTCGGAGCTGTCAGTAAGTCGGGAAGCAGTTTATATAGCAAAACAACTGAGGCTGGTTCCCATATTATTAATTCAAGTTTTAAGAATGCTGAATACAGGGCGGATTCGGCCTCTAGTCAGGATATCAAAAACAGTTCAAGTTTAAATTTAGCTGCACAATCGACGGAGATTTCTGATGAATTGACAGCTCTGAATTTACAGAGGAAGCAGAAGATGGAAGAACTGCAGAAACTTCAAGAAAACTACGAGAAGATGGAAGCCGAGTCGCGTGCCAGGATGGAGCGAATGAAGAATGAAGAGAAGAAGTTGTCAGATCTAGAGGAGCTGAAGAGGAAACAGCAATCTGATGTGGCCGATCTAATGAGGTAAAAAAAACAGCCTTGTTGTTTGTACAGTAAAACCTTTTCAGATTAATGACCACTATTGAGCCAAAAGCTTTTGTTATTGTCATGAAATCTTGCTCTAGGGAGGTTAAATTTTTTGTGAAGTCTTACTGTTGGAAGAATCCATACTGTTGTTGTAAAGAAGGTGATGCTCGACAAAGGGCTTCTCTGCCGAGGTTGCACTGTATATTATTAGTTATAAAGATTTTTGGGGGTTTTATGGGCATATATAAAAGGTTGTTTGTAAACATAACCCTCGCCGCTAGGGGAGGGTTCTATTGCAAACAATTGTTTATATAAGGCCATATAACCTGTAAGAAATATTAATAACAAATTTATAAAACAGCAAGCATCTTTTTTTAGAGAAAAAAAGTGAGATTTTTTCAAAAATTGACAGTAGCCGTGTTTTGATACTGAAATCCCCAAAACCACTGATAGACCATTCTGATTTTAAAGCAGAACAAAAGGCAGCAGTGACCTAGTGGTTAAGGTATCAGCCTCTCAACCTAGTGATCATGGGTTCTATCCCTTATTCTGGTTGGTTTCAAGAAGCAGACTTGAAAGTGATGAATATAAATTGCCAGAACTTGTTTCACAATCAAGCTTCAATAAATATGTTTAAACCAAAGCAGAACAAATGAATTTGGTAATACATAAAACCAGTGGTGGGTGAGAGTAAATACTCAAGTATATCATTTGATATTACAGATTGAAGAAGAATCTACATAGTGAGATGGCGGAAGAAAAACAGCGAGTACAGTATCAACAAATTGAGAAAGAGCAAGAGGAGACTCATAGGTTACTATGTTATATATAAAGCGATAAAATCATCAAATTTGATACATTATTTTAATTCTTACACGACAGCAACAGATAAATACTGCTGTACCTGATATTAAGCTAAACTGTGCTTGATTTGTTTCCATACTTACTTTCAGCGCATCACATTTTTAGTGGTTACTAAATGATGCACCTTATTGAAGAATATATAATAAGCACAATTTAAAAAATGTTTGTAAATTAAGGTTGCCAAGCCTGAAGAACTTGATATACAATATTGAATATTTTGATCAAATATTAAGAAGAAATCCCTGTCAGAGAGTTCAATACTTCAGAATGTATCAGCCAGAGCTGCACCACATTTCACCAGTATATTTTTGCCCTACTATAAAATACTTGTGATTTAAATAAGCTAATAAGTTTTCATTTCAAATTGAGCTTAGATAAATAATTGTCAAACTTATTTGTGAACTATTTTTACATTATCTATATTTCTAAATAAACAGGAAAAAAGAATTGGAACAGCTATCTAGAGCAGAGGAAGAAAAGAGAAAAAGAAGGGAAGAAGTTGACAGGTTAAGGATGGATAGAAAGAAGAAGGAAGAAGAGAGATTGGAGAGTGAGAGAAGAATAAAAGATGAACAAGATTTAAAGGTAAGGTAGTAATTATAGTGAAAGTATGTGATGTTTTATGAAGTGATGGATTTAGATATTTTGCGATTGCCCTGTGAAAAATTTCAGATGCCATTTTAGTTCATTATTTGGGAAACAAATGCCATTTTCGTGGTTGAAGGGTAAAAATATGTCATTTTCATAGTAGATGGGTCAACAGATGTCATTTTCATAGTTAAATGGAAAACAGATGCCATTTTTATAGTTGATGGGTAAACAATGCTATTTTCGTAATGGTCTGGTAAACAGATGCCATTTTCTTAATGATAAGTAAGTGTAGAGCCTGTGGTAAGGTGTTTGTGTAAGAAAGGACTCTTTAGAGAATGTGCTTATAAAGAAGGTGCCCTTTTATTAGTAGAAAAGATATTGAACATTGGCTATTTAATTTGATATTAATTGTTTAGAATGCTAGGGAGAGAGCACAAGAAGAAGAAGAACAACGCAGGAAAGATTTTGTTGCAGCAGAAGAAAGAATTAAACAAATGAAGGCAGAAGACCAAAGAAAGGTATAATTGTAGCATGTTTATTGAAGAACTAATTTTAATCAATTGAATTTTGGGTTTTATCCAGGTGATAAGCACGTGGGTACCTAGGGTAATCCTCTATAAAATGAAGTTAAAAAGTTGCGAAAATAATATATCTTTGTTGCTCTAGAGGCCTTGATGGTCATTAAAGGGGCTGATTAAGTGAGGCGGTGATCTAGTGGTTAAGGTGTCTGCTTCTCAACCCAGAGTTCATGGGTTCGAGCCCTACTCTGGTCACGACCATGTTTCTTCATATGATACCAGTACCGGTTGGTTCCAGGAAGCGGACTCGAAAGTGATTAATATAAGTTGCAAGAACTTGTTTTCGCAATCAAGCTTAAATAAATTTGTTTTAACCAAAATGGCTGATTCATTATCTCTTACCTCAGACTGCTTTTTTGAGGCAAACTGGCTGGGTACTTTTGCTTTTTATACCCTGATGCATACTGGAGACTAAAATGATGCTTTATATGGTCAATATATGTTATTTGAAAACAAAATGATTGAAAAGGTTTTGAAATTTCATCATGTTTTTTTTTTCTTGATGTTCAGGCAAGGGAGAAAATTGAACTTGAAGAAAGACTTCAGAGGGAGAGGGAGTTGGCAGCTAAGCTGGAGAAAGATAGACTAGCTGCCTTAGAAGAAAAGAGAAGGCAACAGGTAATATAACTAATATGACCGCTCATTCTTTTATATCTTCCAGGGCATCTGTGGCCAAGTGGTTAAGGTCATAGACGTCAAACCATTGGTCCCACACTGCTATTGGTTCAAATCTCACCAGAGTTTTTGGATTCTTATATTTGAGGAAGCTATCCAGCTAGCTTATGGAACATCGGTGGAGTTGTTCAGATGCCGACTTGTGCCTGAAATAATGCAGGGGCACTTGAGATATTATTCCATCAATAATGCTGGAAAGTCACCATATATACATTCCAGTGTTGGTGTGACTTAAAACTAAAGTGTTGATCGCTTACTTGTACTTTTGCATTATAAATGTTTCTAAAATTTAAGCATAAATTGACTTGATACAGTACAACTTCTACAGAGTAACACCCTATTTTTGATGATGAAAATTGTTGTCAGGAGTGGTTGCTCTAGAAAGGTTACATTTGTTGGTCATTTGTGAAGTTGTACTTAGGTAAGAATGAAACTAATGCTGATGGAAGTGATAAAATTGATTATGGGAAATGTCAAAATTGATTACCAAAAATGTTATAGGCATTGTTGTTACATGCTTTATGCATTAAACTTTTGAATTGAACTTACAAATTGCAATTGATAATGAGAAATATAGAAATAGGTGATTAAGATAAAAAATGTGAGATATCAAGATAAATGTTGCTGTAAAGAGGCTATTGCTCTACTAAGGGGCCACTAAGTTGAGGTTGCACTGTAGATCTTTCAAGAAATGACATGTTGTCGCCTTAGTGCAAAAAACATAATAAGTCCTTCTAATTTTAATAGAAGTTAATCAGTTATTGCGTTAAGGTGACAAATTTGTGTTACTTTGTAGGCTGAGCTAGACAGGTTGGAAACAGAGCGCAGGGAAAAGTTGAGGCAGGATAAAGAAAGAACAGAGAAAGAAAGATTGGAAAGGGAGAAAAGAGAAAGGGATGAAGAAGATAGAAAGAAAGCTGCAGAGGCTAAACGTATTGCTGATGAGAAGATCAGGTTAATGAATGGTAAGTTTAAACTCACTTTATTGTAAATGTGAAAATTGATGGTGGGAAATGTGAAAATTTGGGAAAATGAAAAGTTGATGATGGAAATGTAAAAATTGATCATTGAAAATGTGATATTGATAGGATATGTGAAAATTGTTGATGGGGCAATTTTAAAGTTGGTGAAAGTAAATGTAAAAATTGGTGATAGAAATGTAAAAATTGATTATGGAAAATGTCAAAATTGCAAAAGGAAAATCTAAAAAATGTTGATTGGAAATGTAAAAGTTGATATTGGAATGTTAAGATTGATTCTGGGGAAATGTGAAAATTGCTTATGGAAAATGATAAAATTGATTATGAGGAAATATAAACATTGATTGTGAGAAATGATAAAATTACTTATTAGGAAATATAAAAATTGATTATGGGAAATGTACAAAAAGATTATGGGAAATGATAAAATTGATAATTAAAATTATAAAAATTGGTAAAAATAGATTTCTTTCTTACAGTCACTAACCTCAAGGTAATTCATATATCAGTTTATCAAGTAATGTTAAGTAAGCATTCTAACACGACCCGCATTTTTCCCTATTGAACATAGAAGAACAGAAAGTGTGTGTTATTATGCAACAGATGCACAGTTTGACGCTCTATATTTAGACATGTGACGTAATCATTATACACATGACGTAACCACTAAAAATCCGACGCGCTGAAAATAAGTTCGGAAACAAATCAGGCGCAATTTTGCTTAACTATTAAGTACCGCAACATTTATTTGTTATTGTCGTGTTAGAATCGAAATAATATATCCAAATCAGTGATTTTATCGCTTGATAACATCACTGTTTGTCGTTCGGATGCGCATCATTATATCACTCGGGCTACGCTCTCGTGATATAATTCCTCGCATCCGAACTCCAAACAGTGATGTTATTGAGCGATAAAATCACTGTTTGGGATATATTATTTCTTAATTATAAACAGTATGAGTATGTTTATAATTTTTCTTCCTTAACTTGTTACTATTTTATACAAAAAATCAACTGCTGAATACAGTATGGTTAAAGGTTCATCATGATATATAAATCAAACTGTATAACCACTGAAAACATTAACTTTCAGCAAAAATTTTTATTGCTTGACAATTCAATTGAAAAACAATAAAGTGCACTGGTTAATGCCATTTAAATGTTGTTTCTTTAGAAACTGTGCTTCATATTAGCATTGTTTATACTGAAAATTGCAGAAGCCAAGACAAAGCCTAAACCGGTTCCCTCACCAAATCTACAGAAAGGCTGGGAGAAACAGCTGGATCCCAGCACAAACAGATACTTCTATATCAACCATAATGAGGGAACTACACAATGGGATCCTCCAGGTTAGTATTAAAGCTGGTTCCCAGCTTTCCTAAATATTGTTATATTTGAACCTTAAAATAACTAAACAAAGGGAACCGATGTGAGTTTTGAGTTTATTAGTGCTGAATTTCAGCTTTCTTGTGCATTTTTTTTTGCAGGCCTATTTAAAGAATACTGGGCTTTTCTACCTAACCATGTGTCAGTGTAGCATTGCTTGTGTTGGTAAAGACTTAATTTAGATGTGGTCTTTATTTGAGGGTGGTCTTTATTATAGGGTTAACGCATGTTTTTCCGTGTTATAACGTCTGCAGAGTCCCGAGGAACGGTTAATTGGTGCCCGAGCCCGGTAGGGCGAGGGCTCCAACAGTTCCGAGGGACTCTGCAGACTTTATAACACGAAATAAACGTGCGTTGACGCTATTATAGCATAAAATTTTAAAACAGATTCATGATGTATATTATATACAAAACACAAACATAAAATCCTTGTGCTTGAACGGTATTTATCCAACTCTTACATGTTTTACGTATGCGTTTTATTTTTTCCGTGGCCAACAACTTGAGAACCGAACGAAATTTCGAATTTTAATTGATTTAACAAAGTTTAACTTTGGAGATAGATTATATCTATCTATCTATCTATATTAACTTAAGAAAAACATAACATTACTCTACCCAATACAAAACAGGCGCCTCAGAAATTCCTAGAATGATTACAGATTGGCGGTAGGAAAAAGATCAGTGACATCATATTCAATTTCAGAATCGGTTTTTTTTAAGCACGCAAGTTTAAAAAAAATCAGGCATAAAACATTATTCTCCCAAAGAAACATACAGAACATTTATCAATATAAACGTCAATAAAACAACATTTTCTTATATTCATTTTGTGCTTTCCATTTTTGTAAGTTAATCCGGGGGATTAAACTGAATGACAGATTCTATTTGTTTATATTGACAACTGTCCGTTTCTAATAAAGGGCGACAACCAAGATAAGCGGCGATGTCTATACGCCGTATTGCCGGCATAATTACTTGAATGCTGCTCGCCGTTATGCGACTGAGGCCCTCGAATTAATAATTCCAATATAACAAGAGCGCATGACTGGCAAACAGGCCAAATCGTCATTTTTTGTTTGTTTACTGGGCCCTGTATGTATTGCGCATAGGTAAAACCGGGCTATAACAAGAGCGCGTGACTATGTTAACGCATGGTTTTGGCCCCGTTATAACATGGGCAAATGAGGGAAAAATAGCCGATTTTATGCTATAATTAGGGATAGTGATTATTTTAATGTGCTCTTAAGCACATGTGTGACTGTATCTGTATTTTTAAACAAATTACAACAGGTGAAGGTAAAGGTGGTACATACACTACACGACTGAAAGATGAACCCTCCACACCCAAGTCAGGCGGCCTCAAGAGGTCAAACTCCTCCCCTAATATTGCACAGATGATGGAAGACGAGGCTAAACTCCCTCAAAGGAAACTAACACCGTCTGTTGACAGGGGAAATAAACCTGTTAAAAGGTATTTAGATTTTTTAGCTCATCTCAGCGCATTGTGGTGTTGTACACAAAAAAAAATCTAAAATTGATCGATCCACTGAACAAGGTGGCCAGATTGTGTTTAAAATAGAAATAAGCTTTAAACTGGGTAAACCCCAAAATAGAATGACTGAAATAATGCACAAAGGGTCACCCAAGGTCTTTTGTCACCAGTAAAGCAAGAAAGTTCCCATAAGACCTTTTACTGTGTTGGTGTTACTTAAAACAAAACAAGAGTATTCTCTGTTAGTCCTAACTGGCGAAAAAATGTTGGTCAGTCCACCTAACAAAATGAGTAAAAGTTTTCACAATTATTCCTGAAGCTCACTGTTTTCAGTCTCCTAAAAGCCTTCTTTTTCCTATGTAAAACTATAGAAAAACTGCTTAATTAAGGATTTTCAGGATTTTTTAAATTTCCAACTTTTACCCATGGTTAAACCAACTTTCCTAGATAACTAACCAGTAATTTCCAAATTCTTCGCAAGTGATTGACTACAAAACCGGAATGGTTTCTCAATCATTGGTGAGAGGCAAATTTTCATTAGACTCGATGTCCAAAATTTGTCTCGTGGAAATTTTACGATGTCAAGGTTCGTGCCAATGAACCTCTGGGTAACGAATCCTATGGTCTCCCTATTGAACTGAGTGGACGGGTCTGTTTTTAAATGAAAAATTAAAAAAACAAAACAAAAAGAACAACAACTTCAAAATGTTTCAAAGTGTAATAATGTTGCCCTCTCTCAGGTCTTGACTGGGTACTTTAAAACTTACAGAGAATACTGCAATGATAACCTGAATAATATATCTCTTATTATATTTCTTGCTTTTATTTGTATGGTGAAAATGATAATTATGATTTTAAAGGCACATTATGCCTCAGAAATGAATAAATCTTTCATTCTTAGGAAACGGTTAACATGAGTTTATAGCGTTTAAATAATTGTTTAGGGGATTTTAGATGCTTAATATCTGAAGAAAGTAGCACTGAATGTGAAATTGTTTGTCATAAAAGTAGCAAAATGTAAACAAATTAGTATTTTGAATGGAACTAATTGTCGAAATGCAACAGAAGCAGAAAAACACTCTGGTAGTGAGTAACTTTTTGGAAATTAAAACAGGCTGGGACACAAAAAAGAGCTTTTTGAGAAATGAAAGTAAAGCATTTCTGTAGATGATGGGCCTTTAAAACAGGTAGAAAAAAAAGATAGCATTTTCATTTACTGATTTTTCAGACCAATGCCTGTAGCTTTACCTGCAAAAAGAAGAGATTTGAATCCAGTCTATGGAAATGTGGTAAGTGATTTGACATGGTATTAAATAATAGTGAGATTTTTTTTATTGTTAGTCAAGCAGACTTTATTAGTTATTGTCTGTATTGATTGCTAAATAAAGGGGCATTTCATTAGTGTTCTGATTAAGTCAATAAGTGAGTATTTGTCTTTGGACATTTAAATTTTATACTAGCCCTGTCATACTAGAATATTCTGAGTTTAACTTGTTTAATGTCCCATTTTTTTGCCATCACTAGCAGACAAGTGGATTTTTAATTGTCTCTGTTTTATAGCTTTATTAAAGCAAATGAATATACACATTTTTTTCAGGGTCCTGCATTGACTGGATTACGTAACCTTGGTAACACGTGTTATATGAACAGCACGATACAGTGTCTGAACAATACGTCGCCACTTGTGACGTACCTTCTTACTGATATGTTCCTGTATGATATTAACAGGTGAGTTTATCCCTAACCTTGCCGGCACCTAAAGTGATTAGCTATTTAGTTCTGCAGTCACGGAATTTAGCACTGGCCCAGTGGCCCATGGCCAGTGAAAATTAGTTCGGACCAGTGTTAATTTTAAGAAAATTTAGTTAAATATATAGAGAATAAATTCAAATCTGGAATTCGGGCCAGTAAATTCAAAATCTTAAATTCAATGACTGGGTCTGCCACCAGTATAGGGCAAGGCCAGCCTTCACTTCCCATGCAGTCTGGCCAGACTCAATACTGTTGGCTGACCAATTTTAAATTTTTAACTTGATAAACCTAGGATCTGACCTCTGAGATATGAGTATTACTAAAAGAATGTTACAATTGACCGAAGAAAATGTTACAATTTCAGTGAAAAACAGACAACAAAAACAAACAAACTAACTTAGGCAGGATATTTTATTTTTCCTTGTTTAACTAGAGATGTGTGGCTTTAACTATTGATTTGTTGTTTATCATATAAATGTTTTAAACTATTAATTTACATTTCAGGGGAGGCAAATCTGGAAACTTATGGGAAGTAACAGATGATTTTGCATACTTGGTTAAGTCCCTTTGGTCAGGACAGTACAGGTTCATAACTCCTAGAGATTTTAAGGTAATTACAGTCATGTTTTTATTATAGGGAATGTATTTCAGGAAATGTTGGAAATGTTTTATGGGGTTAATATATATTGCTGAGTACAAGACTGAATTCTGTTGGACAAGTACACAGCTGTCAAACCCGTGAATAGAAATTGTTCAATACTTTTTATTGAAAAGAAAATTGTTCCATACCTTTATTGAAAATAAATTGTACCGATATTTTCCTGAAAGCAAATTATGAATTAAATTAAGAAAAATACTTAATAATTCAAGTTCAATGCCTAAATTGTTTTAAATTTTATTAATGCTTTGATATGATAACTTAAAATATATTTTTCTGTTGATTGTCTAAACTATGGAAAGTGTATTAGCACTAAGGCTCCCACGTTTACAATTTTTTGTAAACGTTTACACGACTGCTAAGAACCGAAACGATACCGTTTAAACGGTGGTACCTCTATGTACTAAACACACCATGTATTTGAGTCGCCAAATGATGTCTTTCTTTCTATTTTTAATACATGTACAAATAAAGAATGTGCAGGGCTCATCACGATTGAGTCAGCACACATTTTTTGCATTGTATCCCCATTTTTTACCAAAAATGTATTATGTCACGAGCAATTTTGCACGGTAATGCTGTGTGGAGGGTTGTAAACACCCATTTTCCGTTTGTTTACTTTGGAATAAACCACTAGAATTGATAAAATCCATGATTACAGGCAATGATTAAGAAATTTTGTAAGACAATATGGTCATTTCGATTAAATGGTAAACAATATCGTAAACGTTTATGAATGAAAATCGAAACGAATCCGTTTAAACGTGTAATCGTGGGGGCCTTAATTAGCACAAAAGAAGAATAAAGAAAAACTTTTTGTGCCAAAATTAGTTTTAATTGCAAAATGCTGACAATATGCACTTGGCCTGGCTTTCACTAACTTTCTTAAACTGAGAAAAATCTCAAGTAGTATATATGGAGATTTGTCTCAGAAATTTTTTAGTGAATGTCAAACGAGGAAAATCTCAATCTCAGTTTCTGAGTTGAGAAAAATCTCAGATTTAAGCTGAAATTTGATTTTGAGAATGTTAATGAAAGCCAGGCCAGGGCACATGATGACTGAGCTAATGTAAAACATGAATGTTGATGACTTGTTTTTGTGGCATTGCATCATTTCTTGTTTTTTTTTGGCAAACTTATTTACAGTCTGTGGTAGGGAAGCATCAGCCAATGTTTGCTGGGTATGAACAACAAGATAGTCAAGAATTCCTTACATTTCTTCTGGACAGTCTTCACGAGGGACTCAATAAGGTAGGCATTGATACTTATCTCTTAACTGTTTTAGAACAAAAGCAGTGATATCTGCTAAGCCAGCAGTATAGAGTTAGGCCAACCTGTACATCCATGTTTTTCTTTATCAATCTGATAGTGAAAATACATGATTCTACAATGGCCATTTTAAAGAAATTAAAAGCAGGAAACATTCATTACTTAAAATCAGCTGGGCAAGGGATAAGTTGAAGATTTTCCTGTATACTAGTATTGGATGTATCCCGATTTAAATGTTGTGTTTTAACTTGGGTGTAATTAAAATTTAAGCATGCATGAATGTGCCTTCTAGTTTTTATGTTTGAACTTAATGGGAAGGCACTTCTGATGAAATATCATTAAATGAAGATATAAACATTATCCATAGCTACATTGTTGATATGAAATAAAAATAAATAAACAAATCAAACAAAAAATTATTGATCAGTTATACACATTTTTTTTTCAAGGTAAAGACACGTCCAAAGATAGCTGACCAAGACAATGACAAGTTACCAGATCACATTGGTGCAGAAATTGCTTGGAATAATCATAAACTACACAATGAATCTATTATTGTAGAGCTGTTTCAGGTAAATATCACTGTTTATCTGTTTCATGTAAAAACGTATTATTGTAGAGCTGTTTTAGGTAAGAATATACTATTTTATGTCATGCTTTCCAGTGAAACTTAATAGATATAATTTTTACTGTAGCCGGACTAGATCTGAATGCAGATGAAAAGAATATTAAATTGTTGTCTTTCAAAAACTTTAATTTAGCCTATTATTCAAACATTTATAAAGTTATCAACATGAAAACTCTGAATACTTGCTTATCATGACAAGGTGCAGTTGTTAAAACAAAGGGGCATAAATCTGAATGCAATAGTTTTGGAGTTATTAGCCTTTTTAACTTAAATTTTTTAACAGAGCATTTTATATTTAATGCAGTGCTGTTTGTTGGTTTTCAGGGTCAGTTAAAATCAACCATCATGTGCCTGACATGTAGGAAGAAGAGTGTTACGTTCCAAGCCTTCATGTTTCTGTCACTACCAATCCCGTCATCTGGTAAATGTACACTTCAGGTAAATATGATATTTTCATTCTCCCTTGAAATTATTCCATGTAGCTATAGTGTTGCCGGTTTTGCCCTGATGATCCCTTCACTTCCCCTTTTCATCCTCCTTCTTCCCTCTCCTTTGGCCCGTCCCATTTCCCCTCACCCCTCCCCTTTTCTATGGACCATCCCATTTTCCTTGGCCCCTTTACTATCCCCCCTCCCATTTTCCCTCTCACTTCCCATTTGCTTTCCCCCATTCATTTTCCCTCACTGCTCCCCTTTCCCCTCACCTCATCTCCATTTCCTTTACTTCTGTTCTTACTTAATGCCTGTTGCTAAGTGGTTAAGGTTGTTGACTTCTAACAACTTGCCCCTGGCTGCTGTGAGTTAGAATCCCGACAGGGAATTTGAATTCTTTCATATGAGGAAGCTATCCAGCTAGCTTACAGAATGTTGGTAGTCCTTCTCAGGTGCCCGGTTGTGCCTGAAATAATGCATGGATAGGCATCTGAGGTCTTCCTATACAAGTAAAGCTGGAAAATCTGCCATATGACTTATACTGTGTTGGTGCAATAAAGAACAAAAACAAAACAAAAACAAACATCTTCATATGTTGGCTAATATCTTAAATATTTGGTGTGTTGTGTCATTTGATGAATTTCTACCCTGGGATGGTGTATCAAGTCAGTTTTGTCTGTCAAGGTCAATGCATTGTTGGACAACTACAGTCTGTGATACAAGAATATTTGTTGATTTCTGGGCTTGAAAATTTAATAATGTTAGAAGGGAGACAATCTTATAACAGACTGTCAAGATAGATCAATAGGAAGAGCATTGAACTGTGAAGAAAGGTGACCTAGGTTCGCTTCCAAGAGAGTACCGGTCACTTTTATCATGATAAATTGATCATGAAATCATATATATGGTCAATTGCATGGTATCTTTGCTCTGGCATGTACAGGTGGTGTCAATTCCTTGCAGAAGAGAAGGGACCTGGTACTGGTAAACTGCTTGACAGCTTGCCCAGGAACAGTGCAGTTACTGGACTGTTCTATGATGATTTTTATGTGGCTGCTTTGATCTGGTGGTTAAACTACCAACACCACCCCCAACTGGTTGGGATTTGTTTGCAGTCCTCGTACTCTACATGAGGTTTAGACCCCTTATTCAAGAAGATGTTTATTAATTATTCTTTTAACCCTTAACCTGCTGGAAATAAAAGTGATTAGGCTTTGTCTTCAGTATAGATCAAGGCCAGCCTGCCCAATGCTTTGTCTTCAGAATAAATCCAGGCCAGCCTGCCCAGGTTCTATACTATTGGTAGCTCAGTGTATTTTGATATTGAAATCCCTTATACCTTGAATGAACTGTTCCAAATTTAAAGCAAGGGAAAACCATTACACATATTCAGCAGGGGGTTAAAGGGTTAAAGGTTAAATTGATGAGTAGGAAAAAACAACTCTTTTTAGAGATTAAACTTGATATTTACCATAAATAAGTTCTTGATATTATTGATAAAATACCAACCAGGCTGCCTAGTTAACAGGTTTTCTCGATCCATTTGCTGAAAAACTATCCTCTTATTATGTTACTTGATAAGTAAATCATCTTATCCAATCCTCTTGGTAAAAAAACAGGAAGTCATGTATCACTTTTTAGGTACCATTTACGTTATATATTTATGATGGTAATTGTAAACAGGAAATCAAATATCAATCTTTAGGTACCATGTACATAAGGCATTTATGATGTTAATTGTTTAGCCAGCAAAATAAGTTTATTTTGGTTTATCCAACTTATTGCTTACTGAGCATACGCAAAGGGGTACCTGAGATTGACTTGATGACAAAGTCTAGCTGAATAACAGAGAGACAATTGTAGTGATTAAATTAAAGTTGCATGCCTACAGATAAGTCAAAATATTTCAAGAAAATGAGACTTGAAAAAAAATGTTCTGAAGAAATTAAGAAAAGTTCATTATTTAAGATTCAAGAAATAATTAACAAGCAATTAATGACTTACTTTACAGTTTTATTCACTTTTCAGTATTTATCTCCCCCAACCCTGCCCAAATAAAAAGTGTCCCTGAAAGTAGCGTTAAAGTTAACATAGGAAACAAAAGAAACTATTATTTTTTATTGAAAGTTTAATTCAACAGTTAGGAACACAAAAAAAACTATTATTTTTCATTGGAATTGGGAACAAAAGTAATTTTTATTTTATAATGGAAGTTGTATTTAATGGTTGAAAACAAAGAAACTATTTTTTCCCAACGGAAGTTTTATTTAATGGTTGGGAACAAAGAAACTATTATTTCCCAACGGAAGTTTTATTTAATGGTCGGGAACAAAGAAACTATTATTCCAACGGAAGTTTTATGTAATTGTTGGGAACAAAAGAAACTTTTGTTTTTCATGGGAAGTTTTGTCCAACAGTTGGGAACAAAAGATACCGTTTGTTTTCATTGAAAATTTTCACCAAACAAATTGGCAAGAAAAAAAGCATATTTTTGCATTAGGAATATAATCCAAGATGTCAGTTGTAAAATTGGCACCCCCAAATTATTTTGAATATAATTTTTATGTGTATTTTTCAGGATTGTCTACGTCAGTTTGCAGCAGAAGAGAAAATGACGGGAAGTTCACGCTGGAAATGTCCACAGTGTAAATGTTATCGGGACTCGGTCAAAAATATTGTTATTTGGAAACTACCGCACATATTGTTGATTGCGTTAAACAGGTAAGCATTTTATCATTTTTGTGAATAAATTACCTCATGTGTACTTGAATGCTCTAAACAGGTAGGCATTTAGCAATGTATATTAATGAATTACATCAACTGTAATTTAATGATGTAAACTGGGTGGTGTTATGTCACAATGATCCTAATGATTTAAAAGGGAACTGGGGCCAGGGACAGATAGGTAGGAGAATTTCACGTCGGGGGGGGGGAAATTTAATCTGTCAATGATAATGTGCATAAGTATTACATTTTTTTTTCTCACAAAAAGCGAATTTCAATAACATATTTTAAGGGTCATTCCACTTTATATAGAAATTTTCGTTAAGTTGCGTACTGTATTAAATTTTGGGTCTAGTTAAAAAGCATTTAAAGTGATATGGGCCAAGATGCAGGTGATGATTGTATAATATATAATACAGATTAGTTTGTATGTTTGTTTGTCTCTTCGTCTGTCTGTATGTCTCCAGCTTCTAGTAATTTGGCCTTATCACAACAATTTGACTAGTATACAAAATAAAATAAAATTTCAACTTATTTTACAGATTCGTGTACGAAGGTCAATGGAGAACAAAAATAAATGCTCATGTGGATTTTCCTGTTAAAGGTTTAGACATGTCCTCGTTTGTGATGGGTCCGAGACCTAAGCCATATAAGCTCTATGCTGTGTCGGTAAGTAACAAAGTTAAGTAATGTTTAGAATGGGTAAAAAAAAAAACACCAACCTTTTTCATCATAGATAAACATTAATCAAGTACTCAAAATAATTGTTGTATAATTATGCCATGTACAAGGAACGTATTTATGAACAAAATGTATTTTTTAGATAGTGATGGTTAAAGTTTATGAAATAAAGTTATGGTAACACTTTTTATATCAGTGAGTTTAAAATGTTTAAAAACTTTATAATTCTCTTCAATTCTACATCAAACAATAGAAAACTAAGGTACATTTCTGACTTTAGCTTCTTTATTTTCAGAATCACTTTGGGACTCTAGATGGAGGCCATTGTAAGTTATTTATATTATTTTCTAGACATGTGCTTGATATCTGTGAACAGTACTCTCCCTTTTCAATCATTTATTACATAGTTTATCTCTTACAATAGTAGTTGGTTACTTTGAATAATCAAATTGTTTATTTCTGGTCAGTTATCCAGAAAAGTAAATAAGAGGACCAGTCGACAAGATATGTCCCAAAAGCATGTGTATAAATCAGCATAAAAACCAACTGAACAACCATTAGTGATGTTAGAGAATAATTCTGCAGGAATGTTATTCTTTTTTTTTTTGGTGGGGGGGGGGGGGGGGTGGGGGTGGGGGGCACAGTATGGTGGTAGCTGGAGAAACAAGGTCATTTGAAATATAATAGTAATAGAATAATAATAGAAGGGTTTAAATATCACATGGAATATTGCATTATTTTTATGAGAAAGGCTTAAACTACCTAGTTCTTTCACAGTACCTGTCTGAAATATGCATTACAACTTGCTGAAGTATTGTTCCCCCACCCCCACCCCACCCCACTGGTAGAAAAATACTGGATCATTATCTGATGTTGTTCAATATTATTGTACTGTATTAAAGTATCAAATTGTAGTAAAGAACATAACAAACACCATCAAATAGAGAAGTTATTTTAATACGGACACATTTTGAAGATTGTAACATACATGTTGTTGTATACTTGTAGACACCGCATGTTGTAGAAATCCGACCACACAGAAATGGTACAAGTTTGATGACCACGAGGTGTATGATACTTCTGAGTCCAGTGTTAAGGTAAGTCATGATTATTTTGAACTGGATACAATGTTTAAAACAATTTGAAGTAAAAAAATGGGCAAGCACAAGTATATAAGTTTGCTGATATACAATAATCACCAAGTCAACAAGCTTGAATTTATCCAAGTTTTAATGGATTTTTTTAACCTTTTACCCCTTGAGCATATTGGGAAAAATGGCCGTTTTCATTGAAAAGCCTCCTGTAACAAGTTCAAACTGCTATGAAGCATGCTTCAATACTGATGAAACTTGGCACAAATGTTGACTAGACCATAGCCTCTGTACCAGCATGCTCAATCGTAAATTTCCTGTTACCATGGCAACGGGGGACATCTCAAAATTGCTAAAAATCACTATTTTGCATTGTTTTTTACCATCAAAACTGATTTCAAAGTGCTGCAACTTCTCAATGAATTGAGATAGACTAAAACGCTTTTCAGCGTCGGTTTCTAGTTACCCCAAAATTGACCTGAGGCCATTTTTAGCCTGTCATATGTCCAAATTTTCTTGGCGATGAGGGGGAATAATGTCCCCCTTCAAACCCCCCCCAAACAGAAGGGCAACCCCCTGATGTAAGATTTGGATGGGGGACGGCGCCTAAAAAGTTGTCACTTTTTTTAACAACATTTCTCAAACGAAAAACAGTGTTTGGGGCCTAAATAGGGCATTTTTTCACTGTTTGAGGCCTCTAAAGGGGGGGGGGCAAAAAGCCGTCGAAACACGCTTATATAAGGGAAAAGGTTAAAGCATCACTTTTTGTCTGAATGTTTTGGATAAATTTAACATCTAGTGCGGTATTTATGACCATCTATGTATATTGTGTATTTTCAGACGTCAGCAGCATATGTCCTGTATTATACATCAATAGATTTGCTACCACCAGAGTTTAAACCTAACTTCTCTTGATACTGATCAATTTACAAAGCAACATGCAAGCTTTACAGGACTCAGATTCATTTTTCTTCTCTCAGACTTTTAAATGAAACTTTTAATGATATTGATTGATTTCCAAATCAACATGCAAGCATCACTGATGTTACATTGTACTTCCACCAGACTTCAAACCAAACTTCTACTGAAACTGGTTGATTTCCACAGCAACATGCAAGCATCACCTGAGTCTGATGTTCCTTCCATCAGACTTTAAACCAAACTTCTACTGATGCTGATTGATTTCTGCTTCACATGACTTACCAGACTTAAAGCTAAACTTCTGCTTGATAATGATCAAATTCCACAGCAATTTGCAAGCTTCTCCTGATACAGATGCTCTTTAAAAAAATAAATCTGATGTACTGGTATATTATTTATAGCCTTGTTTGTGAATGAATAGTTGTAGATAAAGAGAAACTGTTAAAATTGATATGAAAAATTGGTGTTTTATTAATATTATGCATTTCTTTTTATAAGCTTCTGTAGACAGTGATTGTGCTATTTCAAGCTTTTGTGTGATATTGATTGTTTGATATATTGACATGAAAAGGGGTAAATTCCAAATTATTTTTTTAAAAATTTGATGGAAACTACCTAATAAATAATTTTCTTAAAATACCAGTATGTATCAAGACCTAAGACAGAGTTATTGGTGTTGCATATTTAGCAGTCTTATACAGTTGTTTTGCATTTCTTTCACAAAATTTACTTTGAATGATTGGTGATAGTCCATATGTTTGTATATAGAATATGTTTTCTTCATGACCAGCATAGTTAATTAAGTCTTAAAAATGGTGTGAATGGAGCTTTGAGTCATTACTATGGACATAACAAGTTAAATATTATTTGGATACAAAGGACAAAACAATTTTATGCAGATATCAAAAAGAAAAAATAATTTGAGTATGAAGGCACATCATAATACCATGCAATAAAATTTCGTTCACTGTCACTTTAGTTTATGGGGAATAATAATAATTTTATTAATTTAAAGAGATAGGGGCCTTAATTCTTAACCGAGTTGTTTAGCTTGCTGACTTCGAACCACTGGCACTCCACTACTGTCAGTGTGGGTTTGAATCCTGGCAGTAATTTTGGCTTCTTTTATTTGAAGAAATTACCTAAGCTAGCTAGCTTTCAGAAGGTTGGTGGTTCTACTCGGGTGCTCGCTTGTGCCTGAGGAAAATACAAAGAGGGACATATGAGGTCTTCTTCCACCTAGGTCACCATATGACCTAAACAGTTTTGGTGTGATTTTAATACTGTATAAGTACTTATTTTGGCGGGGGTTTATATTTGGCTATATTGGCGGTCAGGGTCAGTAGCGCCAATTCAAAACACCGCCAATTTAAAGCACCGCCATTTTAGATCATCGCCATTATTCTTTGAAAGGTAGACAACTCGTGGTAAAATAGCTTTGGTTTGTCCGAGTAATCTCCCTTGATTATTTGTAATAAAAATAAACATTACAAGTAAGCTGAAAAGAATTTGTTTATTTTTAAGTCTTGGTAAAAACTCATTTAATTATATATCTATATACTGTATTTACTGTACGTAGCTCACATTCGCTCGTCAAATCTGCAACAGCATCATTTGCGGCACTCAATGAACAAGCTTTGTCCGTATCTTCGATTTTCGTCGGATCTGGCAGTAAAACGCTCGGCGGTTGTTTGATGTTCAATTTACCCCGTTTCAACCATTTATCCATTACTTGTATTAACTATGATTTTATGTTATATTTAACTTCTTGCTTGTGGCCTAACTTACAAGTTGAAAAAATACAGCTAAATAAATGATACATGGTTTAGCGGCGCCTATATATACCTATAAATAGCAAAATATTTGTGATATCAGCTCAACAAATTGCTCGTGCTAATGTTATTCCTATTCATTTGAGAAACATCTCTCTAATCACGATACAAATAATAACAAAAATAGTTCATGTTTTTATTAAAATCGTTCAGAATTAGCACGATGTAAAGATAAAGGTGACCAAGCATAGGTATACCGTAGGCCGTAAAATAAACGAGGACAGTCAACTACTGCGTGACCGGTGTTATTTTTATTTATTTTTTTTATTCTTTATTTGTAATCGCCAATTCATGACCCCATATTTATGCCAACAAGTGTTTTAATTTGGCGGTCTAAAAGCGTTTGCGCCAATTTATGACCCCGCCAATTCAAAACACTTTAAAAAACGCCAACATTTGACACCGCAGATATAATGCGCTATACAGTACCAGAACAAAAACATGTAAGTTTTTTTTCCTTATTCTATTACATATGAACTGCTTTCACAAGACAAAAGTGCTATAACTTTGTTTTACGTTCTTAAAGAGGGAGTTTTAAAAGAAAAAGAGATATATAGATATATTTATAGTGAGTGGAAGAAAAATGAGTTTGTGTAAATAGAGGATGTGCTGGTCACATTCTTAATACTTTGTACTTTATTAAATATGTCATACATAGACTTTATTTGCCTCATTTGACCAACCCGATATGAAAAATCTTTTGTTCAAACTATATTCTTGGCCATATGAAAAATCTATTTTTGCAAAAAAACTTTTTATGTATGTTCAAACTCGATTCTAGCCTGGGATTCAGGCGTTGATATTTTTTGCTTATTCATTACACATGTGCTATTTCATACTCGTTTGTGTTTTTTATAATTCATAACATACACGCTATTTCATACTCGCTTGTGTTTTTCATAATATCAATGCCTGGGGAAACCTGCTGGGTTTACCATGAAATTATCGGGTAAAGATAATCCTTTTGATCGACCGATAGTCTGTTGATTTGCCAAACAATGAAACACAAATAAATTGACAGACTGGAACCCAGGCTTACTAGATTCCTGTTAAAGATGTTTTATCAAACAATAAACTGTAATGTAATGAAGTAAAATGTTAAGTTTTTATTTTGAAGTTTAATCATGTAGCATAGAACCCTGTATTATCAACATATTTAACTTTTACTATATGTCTGTATTAGATTTGACTTATTAACTTGATAATTTATATTTTGTGTGAAGCAGACAAATTGTAACGCAAGCATTTCATATTTTGTTGAACAAGATCAAAATCTTTTAAGTTTAATGTATGCATGACTGCTCATGACAGAATGTTCAGACTAGACATTAGTAAGAGCTGCTACCACGTCAGACTAGTAATCTAAAGATGGCTGGCCATGTAGGTTCAAACCCCATCATGGGCAGGGCAAGCTGTTGTTTCTGTGAGTAAGAAGCTTTACATTGATTGCTTAGTACTGGTAGGGTTCCAGGAACGGATTTGAGAGTGTTTTAATAAGCTTATAGCTTCCAACACAATGGAACTAAAATAAATTAGTATAAACTAATAAGAGTTGCATCATTAATACAGAGTTTGATTATATATTGTTACTTTAGTGCAGCGCCGTGTTAACATCTACCAAACTTAATAGAAGTTAATCTGTTACTGCACTAAGGTGATGATATATGAAGAATGTACATAATATAATTGAGCCGTGTCACGACAAAACCAACATAATGGGTTTGCGACCAGCATGGACCCAGACTACGCAGTCTGATCAGAATCCATGCTGTTCGCTTACCAACTCTATTACAAGAAGAGAAACTGATAGCGAACAGCATGGATCCTGATCAGACTGCGTGGATGCGCAGACTGGTCTGGATCCATGCTGGTCACAACTGTGATTGGATGTTAATTGATATAGAATATTAAAGAGCCAATGTAGAAATGGTCATGGATGGTCATGTCGAACAATTTAAAGGGATATTCAGGCAAAATAATGACAAAAATATCAAAATGATCTTATGTTCTCAAATCGCGCTGAAATGACATTTCTGAAAGTTCCAGCATGAATTTTTGTTTAAAGTCTACATATTTTTGGTTTGAGGCGTAAATATATCTATTTTATTGAACAAAATTTAGACGCCAATGAAATCAACGAATAGTTTTAAAACAAGTCATGTCACTAGAATAAACCCTCGAAGTTACAATAAAATATATCGTTGATATTGTAGGATTGAAACAAGCCAAAGTCATTCACTTGACATGTTCTTTAATGTTTCCAGAGTTCACCGTGACAACTTTTGTGAAATCCTAGTGCTCTAACCTGACCCACGCGGGTCAAGTTAGGAAACCACCATTTTATTTTTTCTACGCAGAAAAGTTTTGTTCTTTTGACTGTAATATATTAACTTTGGGGGCATTAACAGAATAATGAATGAAAAATCCAAAACTAAGAAATGAAAATTTTGCCTGTGTCTCCCTTTAAATGTTGAGATTGGATGATAATAAATGATTTGGAATAAGTGCTAATGTTAGCAGATAAAAATAATGTTGTATGTTTTTTGTTGGTCTTTTCTTCAGCATTTTGTTTTTAGCTCACCTGTCACAAACTTTTGTGATCGCTTTTCGTCCGGCGTCTGTCCGTAAACTTTTACTTTAAATGACATCTCCTCATAAACCACTAAGCCAATTTCATCCAAACTTCACAGGAATGTTCCTTTGGTGGTCACCTTTAAAAATTGTTCAAAGAATTTAATTCCATGCAGAACTCTGGTTGCCATGGCAACCGAAAGAAAAAACTTTAAATATCATTTTTTAAAAAACCATAAGAGCTAGAGCTTAGATATTTGGCATGAAACATCTTCTAGTGAGTGTCTACCAAGTTTGTTCAAATAAAAGCCCTGGGGTCAAAATTGGCCCCGCCCCGGGTGTTCATTGATTTTCCCTATATGCATATAGTAAAAACTTAAAAAATCTTCTTTTAAAAAACCCAAAGAGCTAGAGCTAAGATATTTAGCATGAAACATGTTCTAATGGGTGTCTACCAAGTTTGTTCAAATAAAAGCCCTGGGGTCAAAATTGGCCCCGCCCCGGGGGTCATTGATTTTCCCTATATGCATATAGTAAAAACTTAAAAAATCTCCTTTTAAAGAACTCAAAGTGCTATGGCTAAGATATTGAGCATCAAACATGTTCTAATAGGTGTCTACCAAGTTTGTTCAAATAAAAGCCCTGGGGTCAAAATTGGCCCCGCCCCAGGGGGTCATTGATTTTCCATATATGCATATAG